ATAGGAAAATCAATAGTGCTTTCGTTCACATAAATAGCCTCCCTGCACCCCATCAGGGCTATAATAAAGGCTACGAGTCCTCTGCTTCTACTTTAGCAGGATTTAGATCAACTTTCACAGTTTAGAAGGGGTGAAAATGATCAGTAGCATTTAGTTTATTGGCTCAGTTATGCTGTAATCAGAATAATATGCTGACTACAGGTCGAGCGCGGTTCTATAAATTAAATCAAAGGTGATCATATGCAAATTCCCTTCAAATTGGCGGCAAATCTTTGAAAAGCTTCAAAGAGTGAAATTTCTTAGAATAGAAATTTCTTACGATTACGTTGTCATTGAAGGATGTCGAACTAAAAAGTTCCATTAATAGCTTTCCTTCCATTAATCTACAATTGGTAGCTGGTTGAGAATATGCTTGTTTGAGTCAAAAGACCGCATAGTTTTAAGTACCAAACAAGGCTTTCCGCGGTGTTTATGCAAAATGACACTGATCTATTTGGTACCAGATTGTAAGTGTCTCATGGTTAAGTTCTAAGAAGAACATAACACTCTGCTTAGCTGTGACTGCAAGACTGGTTTGGGAAACAAAATATCGGATCCTTCGTCAGTTGCTTAGGTATAGCTGTTAACAAAAGCTCACGAAGAGAGCTAGTGCCGTAAACAAAACTTGAGTCTCTTCTTTTCATATAGCATACAGAGCCCAGCTAGTGATTGGTTCCTAAACAACAAGCAGATTGGATGATTTATCTGATCTGTGTTGTGAAAGGGCAACTTGATCACGTTTTCACTTTCCAAGATGAACATAAAAGCGAGCAAGACTTCAAAATATATCATGCAGTGTACAGAGACTGAAATGCAGTTTCAGTGGGCTATGCACAATTATTATTCAACAGTCATGAGAACTATGACACTACATGCATACAATACATGTAGGTGCACTAGAAAATTATAGAAAAATAACAATATATAACAAAGTTGTCAATTTACCGTAAACGTACATATTATATATTGAGCGAGCGGCGACGCCCCAAGACAAGTCGGTGCATGAAGCGATTCTGCGACTTGTTTGTAATCTCCACCGGCTGTAGTAACTCCTTGCGCGAAGGCCACCGCGAATTTAGCGCAAAACGCCAACAATAGAGCTGTAGCAGGCTGGTAACCATTTGCCAGCTCGATTTTTACGTGGATTGCTGTTAAGATCGTTTTCAGCTGTGTAAGTTAAACAGAACTGACTAACTATTGTGGAGGTGTGTATTTAAATACGTAGTAGTGGTAAGTACTAAGTAGTTTGTGTTGTCTAACCTTTAAATAATAGGGAGCTTAAGCAACTACGACGACTTCAAAAAAACAATAGGTTTAATGATCAAAACAACAGCTCTGCACGCTTTTTAGTACATTTCCTTGACGTCCACTGCACGACTACGACGTGAAACCTCCTAATTTGCCGTTTTATCGAGGACGTGAACATACATGTACGACGACGCATTTTCCTTCCTCTTTTTGAACCTGAATAAAATCCTTAAGAATTGAACTCCAGGAAAAGTCGCCTACATTTGACATATATCCTGGAGTCAGGCACCCGATCGCAAGTTACGTGTAACTACACTCACCCATTTTAATCATTTCCTCCGTTATAGCAGGGGCTTCATTCACGCGCGCGCGCGCCCTCACGTACATGAAAAGAGCATTTCTTGAAAGTAAAGTTAAGCATTTCGGTTGAAAAAAAAATAGATACTATAGCGGAATCTCTCCTTTAGGACACCTCCATTTAGACTACACCAAATTTGGTCCCGGAGAAATGTTCACATGATCTTTGTATTTGTTACCTCTATTGAAGAGACACCTCTATTCAGGGGAAAGGGACACTTTTTCTGGGTCCTAAAACCTGGGTTTAACTTCCAATCAGGACACCTTAGCAATCAAAAAGTGATTTAGTTTAAGTGTTCATTAGTCACAATGACGAGTGCTTTCCAGAGACTGCTTTCAAAAATGAATTAACTCATGTACTCCACTTGTGGGAATTCAGCACACTACATTGCAGAGATAAGTTATTCATTATCTTTTATGCGTTATCTAGCTGCTTTAAATAAAGACTGCAGCAGATTCCACAGCCTGCGAAAGCAGACGCCTTTTTCGGCTCTAATAAAGATATTTTATTTGTTGTTTAATTTTTTTTGACAAGCCCCAGCCCGACCTCCTTTCAGGGGACACTTTCCTTGGTCCTGAGGGCGTCCCCTGAATAGAGGTTCCAGTGTAATAGATAAAATGAATTTCTATTGTATACGCGGTATCCCAGATCCGTTACCTTGGCTTATCAGCGATTTAGCTCACAGAGAACAGTATGATATGGTCCATCATCATGTCTCTTCATTTAACAATGTTGTGTGTGGGGTTCCCCAAAGCTCTCTTCTTTTGACCGATCCTTTTCCTTTAGTATATCGTTGATGCTTTTCACTCTTCAAGTCACCTGTCATTTATCCTTTTTGCGTATGATACTGATATATTTGTACGTCATTAAGACGTGGCTACTTAAGCAAATATTAATCAAGAGCTCCTTTTTGTTTAGTCTTGGTTTAATGCAGATAAACTCACTGTCCACCCTAAAAGGTCTACGTTCATTATTCTTATCTATTTTTTCCACAGCGCAAACAGATTATCCAATCAGGATAAACATCTTTTTCAATAAATATGCCAAGAAATATCCCATTAAAATAAATCATTATCCGATAGTGCGTGTGCAGAAGGCATATTTCTTGGAAACCTGACTTGGAAACGTCACCTCTCTGCTATCTACTATCGTCTAAAGTTGTAGTAATGTCCTGTAAATGAAGGCGATATCTACCTTCGGATACCTGAAAACTTTATATAATTCTCTCTCTTACCATATGTCAACTACTGCAATCTGGTGTGATTATCCGTGCAATAGCCTGCGTAGCTGGCGGGATATGGTGGGGAGAGATTGGCGGTTTGGCGGCGGAGCGCCGGAGCCGCGAAGAGTTTGGGAGCAAGTCAATTTGAAATTTTCCCACGCGGCTCGTATCCCGCGCGTAACCATCCCGCCAGCTACGCAAGCTATCCGTATAATCACCCTATCTCCAGTCCTCCACGTACAAATTATAAGCCTCTCTCCTACAAGCTTAATATTCTTTTTCTCTATTCAATCTTTAAATTTCATGTCTCCTGCTTTGTGACATTTCAATAACTCTCCAGGGGTAGGGTCGGAGGTATCTGAACCACCATCAACATATCGGACAAAATTTTCAGAGATGTGTCCTTTACGAGTAGAACGTCACATGTCGGTTTTGCGTATCAGATAAGCAAGAGTCTACGCAGTAGAGACTGATGAAGTGTCGAGGAAGAGGGGGAATTATTTGCATCGACGGTGTGCACAAGTTGGACCCACCCTCTCCTCCTTTACTGGCGGCTCTTTCCTCCTTCGGATGCTTTTATCATGGTTATCACAATTACTCGACTCGTTCTCGTTCCGATATACGTAAACCGGCCCCGATTTTCTCTTACGTACGCCCGTGTATTCCTTGTGTCGTATCTGTTGCCTCAGATTTATGTGTACAATCGTCCTTTTCATTACCTGTTGCTCAGATCTCAGCTTGTTTGTCAGCACCTTTTTAAAACTCCAGGTCTGGCGGTCCATGGATAGTAAAAAGAGTAGACTGGTATCCATAGGCAGTCATAGGCCGTATTATGTGCAATAATAGTTTTCTCTCGTTTTGTTGAAGTGTTGTTACAGGGACACCCAACGAGAAGTTTTGAGAAAAAGACCTAAAAACAACAACAAAGTATGAATAAAGCTTTCTGAAACCATTTTGAGCATTAAATGTGTGACTTTTTTTGCTATTGTTTGTAATGTGTGACTTTTTCGCTTTTGTTTTGAGAGTGAAAGCACCGTAATTAGTAACTTCTGGAAGCAAATTGTTGTAAGAACAGCGAACGTGGTCAACAAAATTTTCGCGTAATTCTGGGTGCGCCTTATAACAGGGTATTTAGGTGAAATTTTGATTTTGCTTACTTGTCACAATCGTCTTCGAAAGTTTAGGGTGCGTCTTATAACCGAGTGCGCCTTATAAGTGAATAAATACGGTAAGTCTGCTGGGAAACTTCCCGGTAAGTCAGATCAGGTTGTATGTGCACCTTGCTGGCTGGGAAGACCTTAGATAACAACGAACTCAACCAGGTTGTGGCGTCCAGCGGTTTTAGTGAAAACAAGGGTTTGGGTGGAGTGCTCAGTCTCGCGGGCTCATAAAACCTGGTCAGACACCATGAATTGTCTATTTCATCTTCCTAGCAACACCTTCCTTTCCAAAGACATATTACTCGTTCCAAATCTCCCAGGCAGCAAAAATTTGCCTGAAGAACAGATATTTTGAGGAACAAAACCATTGGGTGCCCCTGTTACTACACAATGAACATTTTAATCGCAATTAGTGTGTAAATTGAAAGATACTTCTAGATTATAAATCAGAACGTAACGTTACAAAAAGCCTAAATAAAGCATGAGTGCATTTTACTGTTTTGAGAAGTAAAGCTGTTTCACGTTAGATTTGTGACAAACAACATCAGTCTCCACGAGTAAACTATATGCCTACAACAGGTAAATAGGAAATTCAAAAACTTAATGTTCGGACGCCAGTACACCATTTTTTCCCGACTTTTTAAGGGCTCAAAAATAACATTAAAATAACAGTATATGTATGAAGGAAATCCAGGGGAAATCGATTTTGGTTAGAGTTAGCGCGAGCTTCGATAAGTAGGTTTGAGTTATCGGGAGTCAACTGTATTTGAGGTCGTTTAATGCACACAACGAGGCACTAGGTTATCAATAACTTATTAGAAAATATAGAATAGTCATCTTAGCGACGCCTCTTGCAAATAGCAAATTGGAAATCAGTTTGACCCGGTTCACGCTACTGTGGCTGATTCAACTGTGTACGGTCATGATGATAGGGCGCCTGCTGCTGGGAATCCAAAAAAACGCTGCACATCAGCTAACAAACGCGACAGTTCCGTGACGTGACGTCAACATGGTCGGGTCCAAGCTTATTCCGTTTTATGGACCGGACACCTTCATAACATTCCTTGGCCTTTTGAAGGTCACCCAAGTCACGATGTAGGATACCCATGCTGTGGTAAGTGTCCGCGACGTCAACATGTTCGGGTCCAAGCTTATTCAGTTGTATGGACAGGGCACGTTCATAATTCTCCTTGGCCCTTTGAAGGTCACCCAAGTCGCGATGTAGGATACCCATGCTGTGGTAAGTATCCGCGACGTCAACATGGTCGGGTCCAAGCTTATTCAGTCGTATGGACAGGGCACGTTCATAATTCTCCTTGGCCTTTTGAAGGTCACCCAAGTCGCGATGTAGGATACCGATGTTATGGTAAGTCCTCGCGACGTCAACATGGTCAGGTCCAAGCTTATTCAGTTGTATGGACAGGGCACGTTCATAAAACTCTTTGGCCTGTGGATGGTCACCCAAGTAGCGATGTAGGGTACCCATGTGATGGTAAGTTTGCGCGACGTCAACATGGTCGGGTCCAAGCATATTCAGTCGTATGGACAAGGCACGTACATAATACTCCTTGGCCTGTCGAAGGTCACCCAAGTCGCGATGTAGGGTACCCATGTGATGGTAAGTATGGGCGACAACAACATGGTCGGGTCCAAGCTTATTTAGTCGTATGGACAGGGCACGTAAATAATACTCCTTGGCCTGTCGATGGTCACCCATGTGGCGATATAGTGTACCCATAATATGGTAAGTGTACGCGACGTCAACATGGTCGGGTCCAAGCTTATTCAGTCGCATGGACAAGGTACGTTCATAGTACTCCTTGGCCTGTTGATAGTCACCCAAAAGCCTATGTAGGAGACCCATGTTATGGTAAAAACGCGCGACCCGCTGAGCATGGTCGGGCCCTGTTCTTATCGTATTTTCCTCAATGAGTTTTAAAGCTACACTGAAATACTTCATTGCTGACACGTACTCGCTGTGCAAGTAGCAAACATGAGCAAGCATCTCAAAGTTATCTATGGAATTGTGTATATTTAGAATAGTGTTTTTGATGAGACCGAATTGCTCTTCAGTAGAGATAATGTTTGTAATTCCTACAGCTAGAGTTTTTAAGTGTGGAACAATATGTCTGCTTCCACACACAGAATCTTCACCCTGCAGGATCTGTGGTATTGCTTCGTGAATGTACTGACTGCATGACCCCATTGCGATACAAGCAACCCGGGCACGTTCATTAGCCTCCATTTGGTCTTTAACTAAACGCTTGACAATATCGTGTACCACCTTGTGTAAACGAATGTTGACATCATCATACTTTTCGATTAGCAACAGGGAAGACCCTTGAATCTGAATGCCTATGTCCTCTTCATCCAACTCTCCATCAGCATTTACAAGGTAAGTGGTTAACACGTCTAACCTCAATGGCTCTGGTGCACAAAAAGCAAGAAAAGTGAAAGCGTGCTTCATTATTTCATCAGAATCCATTACCGTTTCAAGAGCTATCTTGGTCCCTACAGTCATAGAGTTCGGGTAGATACTGTTTACTTTGGCAAGTTCCTTTTCAGTGAGTTCACGTTTGCCTTTCCCTAGTTTTTCTAAGTACCCCTCCCAGCCAAAGGCTGGATTGGTATTTCGCACCTTTCTCACGTAGACTCCTGCGCTGGCTAGTGCAAGTGGTTGGTAATCCAAAGCGTGTGCTACCTCTCCTCCCATGTCATCGTCTGTGATTCCAGTGAGCTCGAATAGAAGGTTGGCAGCGTCAATGTCGTTCATGCCTTTGCTTATCGAGATGTGGGATGTGAAAGAACTCTCTAGAGGGATACAGGAGCAATCCTGCGTTGTGATTAGCAGCTGGCCTTTGTCCCACTTCCCATTTCCACGCTCAGGAAGAAACTGATCTATTCTAGCGAGATTTGTGACATTGTCAATCACTTAGAGCCAAGATGAGTAGAGGTGAATTTTTGTTGCAATTAAATCTTTGATATTGGCTATTTTCCGTTCATTATTTAGATCCTTGGAGTTTTCGGTGGTATTTATAGTACACTCGGGGCAGTGCATTTTTCTTGTCAGTGATAGGTATGATGTTAAAAGCGCTTCTGGGTTTTCAGCATTTCAAGTCATTACAAATGACGGAGCATTTGTTTCTTTGCTGGCTTCTTTGTAGTATTTCTCAGCAACTAGTCCAGCCAGCTGGGATTTGCCACTCCCAGGATTGCCTGAAATATAACAATAACTTAAAGTGTTCTCGTTAGCCTTCCTTAACTGGAACAGCTTTTGTGTTACTTTGTCAACGTGGCAATCGCGACTTGCGATCACATGGGGAGGTCTGGGTGGAAGGACACAAAATGGCTCTACTTCACGCTGTAGTTGCTCTTCAAAGACCTTGCGTTGTTGTTCAGTAGTTTTTAGCCTGTCTTGAAGTTCCGCTTCCTTCCCTTCAAACTTGACTTTTTCTTCCTGAAATTCGATATCTTTCTCCAGAAGCTCTTTAGTTTTGTCCTGCAATTTAGTATCTTTGTCTTGAAGTTCCAAAACTTTCGTCTGAAGATCTTGAGTAAGTTTCTGATTACTTGTCGTCACATTTTGCAATTCATCGGTGGGAAAACTTTTCTGCTTACTTACTGTTTGGATTTCAACAGTAGATAGGCCAAGAGCTCGAAATACTGTCTCCACTTTTGCAACAGTTGTTCTGAAGTCTGCACTTGAGAACTGACCTTCTGTCATGTGAGCGAAGTCTTCATTTCGAAACTTTCTGAGATCATCAACATTGGTTTTGATCAGTGGACTCAGTCGATGTCCGATAGAATCAGAGAACAGAATGGCATAAAAGAGCATAGCACAGTCCCATTGCGCCCTGTCTCCATTTACCATTGTGGCTAACATTCGGGCATTTCTTCTTTGATTAGCTAGAGACTCGCCGTTTTTAAAGTCCAGGCCATTGTGAGGCGTGTCCTTCCATTCTCCAAGTGTTGCCTTGTAATGATTGTCCCATTCCTGCTTGAACAGTAATCGTAAAGCCTGGGGCAGTATGTCAGTGGCTATGTGACAAACCCGGAAGTAGTTGAGCTGTTCCTCTGAGTAAACTTCAGAGGCCATTTGATAACAGAAGGAGGGCAACAGTCTTGGAACCTGTTTTAAAAAGTTTAATAGAAAGAATTTACCATATGAATTAAATGATCATTTCCTGACACTACGTGTATACTACAGGGATAAAGGGAATTTCAATAATACTTTTACTTAATTAAAATAGCCTAGAGAAAAATAAACAAGTGTTCAGATAGTATAGCCCAAATGGAGAGCTTGCCCGCAGGCTAGACAGAAGCTAAAGTATGTTGTTCAGTTGAAAGGAAGTTATGATTTGGGAAAAGTGATCATGGAGAGATGGGATAGGAAGGGGCATATGTAACGTTTTTGACAAGCCATTAGGCAGCTTAACTTTTTGAGCGACGCACGTCAACCGGAAGTATGTTTTCTTCCCTTTTTACATGCCTTGATGCTAACAAAATTGTATTGCTAAGTTTCTTTACTTTTAAAGAGACGACTTACACGAAAGTTTGGGCAAAACCACGGCCCAGAATACAAAAAGACTACTTCCGGTTGACGTACGAAGGACTAGCACCAGAGTGTCCACCAGAGTTGGAAGGCCAGAGTAAGTTTCCTCATGTGCGGTCAAAGATGCGACGTGTAGTTATGAGATATTTAACAATTAGCCGCAGATATTCACGTCGCCTTAGGTGACTAATTGTTTTAGTATAATTACATTGATGATTATTCGAGAAAATAAAATTATTGACAAATCTGGCTGCCATTTTGAAAACTGCTGGCCTTCAATGTTATGATCGCCGTGCGGTGATTATAGCGGCCCTGGGATGAGGCGTGATAATCACTAACGTACAGTTATTATACTAAAAGCAGTTAGACCGAGAGATAACTTTATCGGAGAGTTCAAATATTACTTACTGCTCTCGATGAACAATGAAAACAAACTCGACAGAATCGGTGTTCAGCTACAAAATGAACCTTTAACTATTTCATTCGTAAGCACATTCTGTCTAGGATGTAGACTTTTACGTCATCGATCACGGGATCACGAGATCATCCAACATGAAACTTTCAAGAAAAAGTCAATGGGTGTAGGGTGGGGGAAATTTTATGAACATGGAGCTGAGGCTGGGCCATGTGGAAAGCGTGGAAGGCCATCTTTCATCTTTTGTCGTATGTGGAATTTCAGCAAGTGTAAAAAGATGAAACCCTCGCCACTCGATGGTTTATTTTTCGTTATTTATGCTGTGGCCTCTGTTCTGGCTGAAACTCCAACATCTGGGAACAATGTAGACACTTCTGGAGAAAATAATTCCACGATCAAAGACACCAAGATGTTGGTTTGTATCCTTTTGTGCAAGCTTAATGATAAGCTTTTTAACTAATAATGTAATTAATGATTAGGACTTCTTATAGAGACGGTGCAGTTGAAGCTTGTTCAAGTTTCCTTGACTATCTTCGCTCGCAGATCGTGTAGTTTTTAAAGAAAAACGTGCTCAACAAGTCGTTGCTGCAGAGAGTATTCTAAACCTTGCTGATTATTCCAAGCAGTAAAAGATGGTCGAGATAGTACTTGAAAAATTATTTAAGGTAATTAATGTACCAATTTACCAATGCTACTCAGGGGGTGCACTCGTCTCTTGCTCTACTTCAACACCAACAAACCACATAGTTTTTTTTTTTTCACAGAATACCAGTTGTATTAGAAAACCGCAGGTCATCTCGGGGGGGGTGCGCACCCCCTGCACCCTTCCCCTAGATCCGCCCCTGCTACTTTTGTCATAAGTTCCTGGGTGAGAGCTCCAGCATCCAGCAAATAACCTGACTTCTTAATAAAATCATTATCACGCATAGGTCAGATCAGATTCTCTTCTGTTTTAAAGCTGCATGCACCTAGCCAGGGCACAGTTCTCTTGGGGTTTGACGGGTGATCATCTTATAAGACGTGGTATCCCAATGAAGCAGTCTGCTGGACACCCACTTGAATATTTTAGCCAAAAATCTCTCAGTACATTTTATAATAGCTACCATCTTTGCTTTCAAAAGCACTGGGAGATTGGGCACAATAGACAAAATTACTGTGTTATTGATATGGGCACTATTTTAACCCGGGGGGGTGGGGGGGGGGGGTACTTTAGGAATTTTTGGCTGGTTATGTGTCGCTGGGACCCTGGAACCTGTAGCCTATACCAGAGCTAGTTCAGCTGAATTTGCTACCCTATACTAGACTAAACTCCCAAATCCCCCCTATCCTAGAGTAGTTTTTAGTAGCTTTTAAACTTGCTGATTTGATTTTTTAATATTCTTGAGTGGCAATTCCTGATTTTCCCAGGACTAGACTAAAATCTTCAACCATTATTGTTCAGTTTCCTGGAAAATGATACTTTATTCTGGACGCAAACTCTCTGATTTATATACCCTATCCCAGAGTAAACTGCTTGAAAACCATACCCGTCACAGCAGCACATAAAAATCAATAATAACTGTTTTAAACCAAGCAAAACCTTGTGCTCTCTGTCTTAATTAACCCTCTTACATGGAGGTGCATAGGGATTCATCACCCATTCCACCTCCACGGTCCATGAGGGAGGAATGAGTGACGAATCCCTAAGGACATATGCATAAGAGGCTACGTTATCTCTTGATGACATTAAAATTGCGTAGTCAGTTCACAATCAGTTGCAATAGCAGCTCCATGTTTTTTTTTTAAATTTAAAGTATTCAAAATAAAACTTGAAGTGATTGAAATAAAATGAAATTTAAATGAAAATTATTTCAGTGTACTTTGATGAATTCTCAATTTCGTTCTTTCTGCAGTATTTCTAATCATTGGTCAGAAACAAAAAGATAGTACAGACTACTAGTATATGTTAACTAGGCTAGGATTAGGGTAACTTTTTTGTTTCTGTCTTTATGATTGGGCTAATGGGAGGGAGACAAAGCTAAGGCAACTAAGAATCAAACTATGCTGAAATCATTTTTACCTCTGTCAAAATTATTTCATTTTAAAGGTAAAGATTAAGTCTGTATTTCTATCATTCCAATTCAAATTTCATTGTGAATTACAACTGATAAGTCTTATCAGTTAAGTTTATTCAGGATTTACAGGATGCAAGAGTCATTAAAGTAACAGAGTCAGGATCCCAGGACAAAGCATTTCTCACAGAACAAGCACAGAAGGTGACCTGGCTAGAAGGCGACCTGTGTTATAGACCATAATTTGCACCAAGAGGTCATTATGTGATATCGTTTTTATAAAAATGTAAGTGATACATGATTTTACCTTTGAAAAATTGTGATTATAGTGGATCATTACAATTTTAAACAGTAGTGATTTGGTTTTTCAAACCCGCATGCGCACTGTTTCCTTAAAATGAGTAAGATCGCAGCTGGTCACGTGTGACTAAAAAGTGAATTTTAAAATTATGAATAGCTCTTTCTCAACACATTAGTTTTGCACTTAAACTTCAAGGATTTCAAATGTTAAAAAGATGATGTGGTAACGTTTACAGCACTAGTTTGAGTGTTTACCATTTAATGTGTAACAAGATGCAAAAGCAAGGAAAAAGTAGTTTTGGCCACATGGGCGGCCAATACAAATCAATTTCTTACTTTGTTGAAAAAATCAAGGTTCCACAAAAATAATATCTCCCTTAAATGTGTTTCCTCTCAAATTTTATGTGCACTGTCAATTTTTGATATCAGCAAGATTCCAACTCGTTGTTTTAAAAAAGGAAGCATTGGTCATGTGAGCTCTTAATTTAATGCAATTAGCGACCTATTGATGGTTGGTAGTTTTAAAAATATTAGTGAATTAAGTTTTCATTTTTGAACACAACTGTCATGTCATCAGAAGGACTAAAGTTGTTGATTGATCCAGTCAGCACTAGTCCTTTGGGGTTGTTTTACAGCTGAGCAAATCAAGATCAGGGCCAAGCAGCAGAAAAATTTCAAGTTGAGGGGAATTATTCTTTAGGTATATCTTGACTAGTTTACTGCCTTTGACGAAGAATACCCATTTTTTTTAACAGCTCTGGCAAATGTCTTAGAGAACACAGCCCTCTTTGGTGATATTCTTCTTCGACTTCCTGATATAACACATGAGGTAAAACAAAAGATATTTATTTTAAAGTTTTAAAGGCTTTTTATTAGTCTAAAAGGTGTGTACCTGGTAACTTGATTTTTGCTAAAAAGGAAAAGTAGCATTTCTGCAATAGACATTTCCAGTCACATGTCTGTGAACAAAGGCACCAAGGCGAGGCTTGGGAAGAAAGACAAATACAAAGTAATTTAATTAATGTAGGAAATTGTCAGATATTGCATGCCTTCACCTCACTTTCTTGCATTTGCTCAATGGAACACTCAATGCAGGAAGGGTCGATGCACAGCTGGCTGGCCACCGTCAGGTTTCAATCAGCAGCAACAGTAGCCAGACAACAGAGGGTGGTCTGCCTGTGTCAATCTGCTGTGCTGTTATTATTACTGCAGTGAGGAAAAGGCTAATAAGGAAAAAAGGATTTAAACAAATTAGTATTTGCCTGTATGAAACTTTTGAAATCCTTCAGTGTATATCACTCTTTGCCCTCCATTCATAACAAAACTGCTGCTGAGAGAGAAACAAAATACAGCCAAACCTTCGTACAACAGTCACCCTTCGGAAATGGCATTAAGGTGACTGTTATATACGCGGCTGGTGACCGCTATATACAGGTCAACTTTGCAGAAAATATAATAAAGGCAACTGGAAAGTTTTGGAAGTTGTCCAGTGACCATAATATACAGGGTGCCTGCTATATACAGGGTGACCGCTATATACAGGTCAACTTTGCAGAAAATATAATAAAGGCAACTGGAAATTTTGGGAAGTTGTCCGGTGACCGTAATATACAGGGTGACCGCTATATACAGGGCAGTTATAATACAGGTTTGACTGTATTACTTTCATTACAAAGCAAGAAAGAAACTAAATCGAACACCTCCATGTGGGTAGGAATTACTGCTTATGGTGATTTCAAACAGGGTTTGTTAAGGCTGCCGGAAGTATAGCTGTCCGCTTACCTGAGTTCCTTTTTTTTTTCTTATTTGTTTTGCAAAATAGTTAGACTGCGTTATAATAATATTTTTTCAAGGGGCTGTGTCACGACCGTCTAGTTTATTTTGTCAATAGGAAACTTAAGCAAAGGGGTTGTTGAGCGGTGCACGTTAACCGGAAGTAGACTTTTTACATTCCTGAGCAGTGGTTTTGCCAAAATTTTCAGTTAAATCATCTCTACAAGTGTAAAGAAACTAAGCGATGCAAATTTTATAGCATCAAGGCGTATTAAAAGAGAAAAGTCCTGACTTCCGGTTGACGTGTGTCTCTCAAGAAAGTAAAAACGCCTTTGCTTAGCTCTCTAATTTTGCCAATTACGTGTTCTTATTTGCTGTGGAACTTCAGAAATTACTTGTAAATGGCAACATCACAGCTTTATGTCAAACAAATATGTCTCCCAGGCATTATATCAAACGTTACAAAAAACAAAAACGAACTTTTGTTATGCTAGCACTTTTTCAAAAACGATAATCGCCATCTGTTCCCGAGGTGGGGGAACTCCCCATATGAAAGGGGTGGGGATGCTTGTCGTCTCGCTTAGGGGTGTAAATTTCGGAGTTTGGTCTCACTTAGGGTGTTCTGGGCAAAACGCCATCATATTTAGCCGTGAAGGTCTCGTTTAGGGTTGCACGCGAAAAAATATAAATATATATATATTGTCTGTGTTTTAATATGGTGTCTTTTAGGGGTCGAAAAAAGCTTGAGCCACGCCCAGATCGGTCTCCTTTAGGGGTTTAATTCAAAATTTCCGACGAGCATCCCCACCCCTTTCATATGCGGAGTCCACCCTTCCCCCCGGCTTCTGTTGCTCACGTCTTAAGTTTGTTCTCCTTTTTTATTTGCTGTGTTATTTCTACCTTTGTTTCATGTTTTAAGCAGTTATTGAAATATTTCACTTAATTTTGTGACGGTTCTCTTTGTTTGAATTTTGATTTATTTTATGTCACAGCTCCTTTGAGCCGCGGCTACCTTGGTCGTTCATCACAGCTCCTTTAAGCCCTACCTTGGTTGTTCATCAAAAACTACAGTTGAGCCTCTCTGCAACGGCCATCTTGGTGACAGAAGAAAATGACAATTGTAGAGACGAGGCTGTTAGTGGAGGCTTCACGGTATAACGGCAACCTCTCTCCAACGGCCATTTTTTTTGGCGGACAGTCCATACATTCACATATGTTTCATCCTCTCTACAATAGCCACTTTCTTCTGTTCCCAAGGGTCCCCTGGGAAACAAGGGCGGGGTCCAGTTAAGTCTTCTAACACACGTAAGTCAGTGAGTACGTACCGAAAACGAAGTTTGTGTTCCTCTCTGAACCTGTCTCTCATCTCATTGAATTCCCTTTCTTCAAGGGCAATGCGTCCCATATGCCATGCCGACAAAACCTTTCTGGCTTGCTCCTCTGGGTTTGGCACAGCTTTCAGTCTTAGTTCTTGAAGGGACATCATTTTCGATTAAGAAACAACGTATAACGGTAAAGCGAAATGAGGCTTATTTCATGCTTCTTTTTTTTCTAACTGTTGGCTTTTCTTTCATTGGTGCTTTTTGGATTCCCCTGCGACTTTTTCCAACTTTATTGGTGTAGCCTATTCCGTTGTGTTTTTCACACACCTAGCATTTGCACAGAGCACATGGCAAGACACGCTCTGTTGTGCTGTTTTTACTAACGAAGCAATGAAATACAAAGGCTTAGTAGACCCAAAAAACAAGCCGTTCGGCATCCTGCTACCTTTCGAGGTGCAAGTAATCATTATGTTCCGGACCCGATGTTTTATGACAAATGACAGAAGGACAAAAATGAATGAAGAATTAACCCGCCTTCCCTGTTTCCTTTGCACATCTATTCCAATGTCCGTGGCATTTTCGTTTTCAAGCGGCTACAAACGTTTTCCTTTCCAAACCTTATCCTCGCTTTTACGGTTGTCCCCACTGTTTCAGAAGGAACACACAACAAGTGTCGGTATGTGTGTTCATCTATTTCCCTTCAGTTTTATTTCATGCTTACCACTAACATTTTGTTTTTTTCTTGTAGATTGATATGATTGTCGCCATGGGAAACGAAGATAAACTACATGAGGCAAGATTGGCCCATATTTTGCAGTTATTTAGACAGGCTCATCCAGAGATACAGCTCTGTGTCGAATTACCAGCACACGGCAAGAGACAAAATCAGATGGTTAAGGATAGTTTGTACTTTTTGTTAGACTATTTACACGACAGACATTCTCGTTTACCAGCTGCCCTTTCCTTTATTTTGTAATTTTGCGATTGATATTTTTAAACATGTAATGTGGCGTTTGATATGTTTACACATTACATATTTTTATTCCTTTCATTGCATTTTGCGTCATATGTTTTACTGACTACTCTCACGTGTCTCTCCTTCTTATTTCTGACTCTTTCCGACCCCTTCCGATGATCACCCGAGCCTCGTTTTAGCTTCTTTTAGTTTTCTGTATGTTGGCTAAACTCTTTCGTTGGTTAATTTCAATTCCCCAGCGACATTTTTAGTCTCGATTGGTTTAGTCTGTTCCCTTGTGTTTTTCACACACCTATCATTTGCATACAGCACATGGCAAGACACTGTTTTTGCTAACAAAGCAATGAAATACAAGGGTTTAGTAGACCCAAAAAACAAGCCGTTCGGCAACCTGCTACCTTTCGAGGTGCAAGTAATCATTATGTTCTGGACACAATGTTTCATGACAAATGACAGAAGGACAAAAATGAATGAAGAGTTAACCCGCCTTCCCTGTTGCCTTTGCACATCTATTCCAATGTCCGTGGCATTTTCGTTTTCAAGCGGATACAAACGTTTTTCTGCTGCTATGGATACCAAACCTTATCCTCGCTTTTACGGTTGTCCCCACTGTTTCAGACGAAAAACCAAGCAATACTCGGTACGTTTGAACATTTCGGTTTTATTTCGCAATTCATTTGCCCTTTGTTTTCGGGGATTAGTCGCCATCTTATTTACGTCAATGACTATTTCACAATCCTTTACCTTCAAGCAATATTTCTTAAACACAATTTTTCTTCTAGATTGATATGATTGTGACAGAGAACAAGCATGAAAAGAAATTCAACGATGCTAGAATCGCTCTCAGTTTAGATTTACTGGGCGACTATTACGGTCCTTCCATTCCATTGTACCAATATCCAGTTTATGGAACGCAAGGAAATCCTGTCATTCTCGATTTATTTGTAAATGGATTTCTTTTTGACTGGCTGATCGACTTTTATTCCAGTATCTCTCCAGACTTTTCTCTGACTTTATAATACTTGTAATTTTATTAAACCAATTTTTCACAATGTTTTTTGTTACTGCGCAGGGAACACTTCTTCTCCCACATGTGTAAGTTGACTCAACTGATTACACAAAGAAGTTCGCGTCCTCCTTAAGTATAATAACTACTCAAGTGTCTCTCCTTCTTGCCTCATGACATCATCCCTCATTAACATAATTCCGAGCCCTCTCGGAAGGCTTCCGACCGCACCCAAGCCTCGTTTTAAGATATTTCCGATTTCCCCCAACAATAGATCGAAATATCCTCTAGACCAATCAGAAGGCTCGAAAGACAATAGACCTCCTATCTAGAAGAATGGGGACCCAACAGACTACGGATTGCTGCTTACACACTTTCAACTCGCTCAATATCAAGTTAGTTGAGATTTCCTCGAGGTGAATTCGACAGACCTGACCTAAGTTCAGGACGAGAAATAAGAAATCCCCCTCCTGTGTTTACCTCCTCCATAAAGCGTCGCATCAGGACATTTTACGTCACGTACAGTGGCAGCAAAGAAACGTACCGAAGGTGTCATGCACGTGCAGAGTTGTTTTGCTTATGAAACCTGTTAATTTTTTTGTCGATCTCGTTGCCGTCGCCTTCGCCTTCGTCTTTAGTTCTCTTCAATGAGAAATGTAGTGTAGAATTCCTCAATATAAGCACCTCTATAATACGGACACCTCTCTATGGCGGACCTTTTTACGGTCCCTCCCCTCCCCCAAACTTCTTACAGTGTTGACCTCTATAATGCAGACACCTTTGTACTGCGGACAGTTGTGTCTTTGTTTTGATCCTTTTGACTCTGGTAAAACCTCTCCCTGGGAAAAACTCTATGCTACGGGCACCTCGGTATATCAGGGAGAGCTCTATTGGTTCGAGAGAATCCCTACCTCTACAATACGGACATCTCTGTATCAATTGGTTTAAGAGATGCTAATTCACACAATCCCTACCTTTGTAATAAGGACACTGCAGTAACGCGGACGCTTCCCTCTGTCCTTGTGGTATCCGCAGTGACAAACTACCACCACATTGTTTCTCCCCAAACAGGATAGCCCCTTAAAACCTCACTAATGCTGCCACATTGTTTGGCCTTCGAGTAGTCGCATGAACGGGTTTCATGGTTTTTTTCTATTTCCTATTGTTAACTTGGGCTTCATTGAATGTGTTAACCCTTCTTCAACTTCACCATTTTCTAGATCTCTCTGATGTCTTGCACAAGCTCCCCGAAACATTTATTGCCTTAGAGCACAGCTTCATGGAATTCACGAAGCCGTCAAGGTAAAGCCTGGTTTCGTTATAAGGCAACCAGCTAACCTGTTTCAAGGTCTTAGGTAGTCGGAACGAGCAAAAAAGAGAGCGAGCGGAGAAAAAGAAAAGACAGAGGACTGGGAAGGAAGGTGGAATGGAGAGGGCTTTTCCGCCCTGTTTTTTCCCAGTCCTTGACTGTTGTGTGCAGGAAATTATGGTTTCCTTTGCCCAGGCCCTATTCGGCGTTTTCCCACGCCTTCTCGGTCAATCAATTGGTAACGTAACCGAGGAAAACGGGTGGACCACGAGACACGAAGCGTATTGGCCGCACGGAATAATGAGGCTTAGGGGACCAGGTAATGATTTCCCCAAATTGTCCTGATTACCCACCAACACGTCAGAATTATATAAATATGATCGTCGCGTTCGCCTGAAAACAGCTTGAGGCGGAGCTGACGATGAAATGGGAACTACGCTTTAGGTTTTGGTATATTTAAGCAAACAGGGTTCATAGAAGTCCTAAAAAGGGATCCACATTATACGAGCTCTGAACACAGAAAACATCAGTTAAATGATTATGTTGCAGACTGAACCTTTACCCATAAATTAGTTCATCTTTCGCTTTAAAAGGACTCTGATGTTGTCGTCAGGAGCAATATGAATGAAAAACAAAACAGATTTATTGTATCAGTGGCGACAAAAAATGTTCTAGTTCTTTTGTTTAAGAAATACTCTATGCACGCACTAAAACTATTTACCGTCGTCTCTTACCGCGGATAATGATCTGGAAGTGAATCGCAACTCAAATAAAAAACATAACCTTTTTAACTAGTTTTATTCAGGGGCACCCAACGAATATTTTTCTGAAAATGAGCCGTTAACTACAGAAAACGAAAATTTAGACGCTTTTAAGGCATTTTCAAGCGCTTTTCTGTGTTGCTGGAAAGAATTTATCTGTTCCTCACTCCCAGCAGGTTAGATGGCTATTCTCCCAGCCAGCAGAGCGGCCTTTTCCATGTTTACCAGCCAGCTGAAAAAAAAAAAAGGTATTCAAATAAGCGCCGCAGGGTTGCTTGGAAATTGCGGCGCTGATTCGAGTATATACGGTCACAATTAATAACACACAGCCTTATCTCTCGCTTGTCAACCAGGAATAACAACAACTATAATGGTAATGAAAAAGGAACGTCACTAAGCCTTCCCTAGATGTACCTTTTGTGAATCCTATTCAGTCCAACTTAAATATAATACATCAGGCGGTTTAATAGGTTTTGACAACGGTGAACTCGCGCTCCGCCGAAACTGGAATGTTTTAATTAAGAATTTTTTAACAGTTGTGTAACACTATTATGTAAGATGGACGAAAAGAATGCACTTACCAAGAACATGCAGATATAACACTTTATCGTGCCTATTGGCAACCTTAAGATACCTTTCCTTTACACCCCGATAAGTTTGATCTGCAGTTGGTGCTTCCACAAAAAACCTAAAACACTTAAATCTAAAAACAAGGAGAAAAAGAACCATTAGATGAATATTAAAGAAAACCTACTAAATCCAGCTGAAAGAGGTGTAAAATATAATTACAACAGACAAGTGTTTTTTTGTTTAAAAAAATAATACATAATAATATAAAATTCTCTCCCTAAGAATGAATGGAATGTTGCTATCAACATCATCCATCACGGGCATGTAGAGAGGTTTAATTAAATCAACTTTTCCCAAATTTGGTTATATTTTCTGAAAACATGGTTGAAATTGCATTTCTCTTCTTGTCTGTATGTTAAAGCTTTTTCCTTAAAACAGTTTTATTGAGTATTGAATAATATTCGATTTTTTTTCTTTTAAGAATTCTCGTGAAAATTATACAAACACGTCTCTTGATCGTACATTATTGACCTTTCTTTTCTTTCTTTTTTCATATGAAATCATTTTTTCTCTTTTTTTGTCTCGAAGATATTAGCGTATTATTCAAGATGACATCAATTTAAGATTGTTGTTTTTTTTCTCCATATAGTTTTTTTGGGACTCCGGTATTACTGCGCTTTTCAAAAACACGAACTCTGAAGTTCAAAAGCCGCCTTCACAATTGGGTGTTTTTCACTGCCGTCAATCATAATTAGGATCACAAGCAACGAACCTTGAAACACACAAACACACAAATCACAAACCATGACCTTTTCAATCCGTTGAAGTAAACTTCTGTTTCCTAACAGATCCGCTAAGATGAATGACGGTAAACGTGAGTTGGCTTTTGAACTTCAGTAATCGGGTGTTTATGAAAAGCGCAGTGAGAGCCTAAAGTTATAATGAGTATCTGAAACATTTTTTTATTATTGCACCAGGTTCAAAAGGAACAATATCCAGGTGAATATCTTAACTACAGAAGAGCTTATTTCAAGGACACCACAGATGTATCTTCAAGCGTCTTAAAGGACCTATCGAAGACAAGTGAGCATATTGTGCATGTTGTAGTTTAATTTCATCCTTGCTTTGAAATTTATTTTACTTCATACGTCGCTTATATTTGGCTATATCAGATATCAGAATGTCCATTTACCACTTCAGGCGATTTCAAATTTTATTATTCAAGCCACTGACTCGCTTCTAAATTTTTCTACGATTGGCGCTTTAACTTTCCTCTTACCTTTTTGTTCCTTAGGTGCAGAATTTAGCCTTGGTCCCAATCCTTTTCGTGTATTATCCAATAATTCAGCGTCTGCTTTGTCAACCGCCTCAAATATATCGGGTATTGAATTTACTGGAGATTTCGTGCGTGTGTTCTCTATTGAAAGAGGCTTACAGCATGTCTTAACAATGGCAATATCATGATTACTTTTTACCTGCAATTGCCTGCAAGGGTTTTTCCACAGCGTCCAAAGTTCTTTTGCCCTCCATGGTAGATTTTGATCAATTTGGGTTTCTGGGAAACTGCCGACCTACCCCTCCCCTAAGCTAACATTAACACTTACTTCTCATTAACGGCAAAATGATGGCTTAGGGGAGGGGTAGGTGGGCAGTTTCTCAGAAACGTAAATTGATCCGTAGATTTTATGACCCATTACTGCTCTCTGCTCAGCCAATGAGCTTTAAGAATTTCGCAAAAGGCACCAAGTTTGAACATTAAAACCCAGTGTACTGGAACAAATTGCTACAACGCCAAGAAGAGTTCGAAGGTGATTTCCACCCATTTGACAAAAATTGCGGGGTGGGAGTGGGGAAGTCGTCAGTTTACTAAATATTGCTTTGCAGTTCCCCAACGTTTTTTTAACTCCATTGTACATCTACATCATAACTTAGCAAAGGCTGTTTATCGCGCCGAGAACTATAGAAATCTTGCTGAATTGCTTGTAAGTGATAAAGCCGACTTGATAACAATTTTGGTACATTTTTGTTACCCTAGGGATTGGCAGTTTTCAGACAAACCCTGCTGGTTTAACAGGTTCTTTGGGGACAGCAGGAACAGCGTCTCTGGGAAATCCATTTGGCACCACCACAGGACTCGGTAGTACCAGTCTAACGTCAGGCTCCACATTTGGAACACCTCTCGGGACCAACACTTTAGGAGCCACGGGTCTCAGAGCGACCACTGGATTTGGGACCCCGAGTCTTACGGGAGGATTTGGTACCCCTGTCATTGGGTCCTCCACAGGAGAAGCTTTTGGCTCCACCGGGACAGGACTTGAGGGGACCGGTTTTGGCACCGGGACTTCAGCGTTTACTGCACAACCAAAGTTTCAACTTCAAAGGCTACCGGCTGGAAACAAACAAGACAAAAGGAGGTGAAACAAGCAGGATATATGTGGACTCAAGAAAACAATTAAAACTACTCCTGTTGAACATAGTATACTCGATCTACGTACACATGCATAAGGGTTCACTAGACTGTTTTGAACTAATACCCAGCACGTTGTAGTGTAGCGCATAAACGAAAAAATTGAGGGAGGTTCAATATTAACGTTTACGGGTGACCTTTCATACGACGCCTTTATTTTATTTTCGAAAGTAAATTGTACGTCTATGCGCAGGTAAAAATTACTCGATAGTGGAAATCCACCTTAACAGCACAATGTTAGAACAACCTCAGTCCGAACTCCTGGTACACTGCGCGAAAATACAAGGTAGCAAAGTTTACGATTAGTTCAGCAAACAATGGCGAGTGTGCACGGCGTTTAGAATCGCGCATCAGGAGGGAAGCCTGGACGCGTCTCCCGCTGTCTAAGAAGCGTTAAATAGTAGTTGAACTAATACCCAGCATGTTGTAGTGTAGCGTATAAACGAAAAATTTAAGGAGGTTTAATATTAACGTTTACGGGTGAACTTTCATACAATGTCTTTATTTCATTTTCGCAAGTAAATTATACGTCCATTCACACGTAAAAATTACTCGACAGTGGAAATCCACCTTAACAGCAGAATGTTAGAGCAATATCAGTCCAAACTCCTGGTACACTGCGCGAAAATACAAGGTAGCAAAAATGACGATTAGTTCAGCAAACAGTGGCAAGTGTGCACGGCGTTTAGAATTGCGAACCAGGAGGAAAGCGTGGACGCGTCGCCCGCTATATAAGAAGCACTTAATCGTGTTTCTTGCCCCTTCTTAAGCGCGTGAATCAAGATCCACGTTCGGGTCATGACTCACGCTCGCCTGACAAACGTATCTGAAAAGTAATGCCTGTTCTACAGGCGTTTGCTTTTGGTTGGATTACCGTAACGTACATATTTATTGAGCCAGCGGCGACGTCCCAAGACACGCCTGGTCACAGGTTATGTGTGACCACCTTCACCCATTCTAATTATTTCCTTTTTTATTGCAGGGGCTTCATTCACGCGCACGCGCGCCCTCAGGCACATTAAAAGTGCATTTGTTGAATGTAAAGTTAAGCACTTCTGTTGAAAATAATAATGAGTAGGCTTAGACTATCTTAAATTAGATACTATAGTGGAACCCCTCCTTTGAGACACCTCCATTCAGGGGACAATATTTGGTCCTGGAGAAATGTTCACATACCCGGTAATCTTTGTATTTGCTACCTCTATTGAAGGGACACCTCTATTCAGGGGAAGGGACACTTCTTCTGGGCCACAAAAACTGGGTTTAATTTCCAATCAGGGGGCACCTTAGCAATTAAAAAGTGATTAAGTTTAAGTGTTCATTAGTCACAATGACGACAGCTTTCAAAAATGAATTAACTCACTTAAATCGATGTACTGCACTTGTGGGAATTCAACACACAACATTGCACAGAAGTTATTAATGATCTTTTATCCATAATCTATCTGCTTGAAATAATGACTGCTGCTAGATTTCGTAGTTAGCCTGCGAGAGCAGACACCTTTTCCAGCCCTAGTAAAAAATATTTTATTTGTTGGTTAATAATTAACAAACCCCAGCCCAACCTCCATTCAGGGGACACTTTCCTTGGTCCCGAGGGTGTCCCGTGACTAGGGATTCCAGTGTAATTGATAAAATGAATTCCTATTGTATCCGCGGTATTTTGTTAATTTGGCTTACCAGTTATGTAGCTCACAGAGAACAGTATGATATGGCTCATCATCGTCTCTTTATTTAACAATGTTGTGCGTGGGTTCCTCAAGGCTCTCTTCTTTGGCCCTCTCCTTTTCCTCTAGTATATCATTGATCCTTTTCACTCTTCAAGTCACCTCTCATTAATCTTCTTTGCGTGTGATACTAATATGTTTGTACGTCATTAAGACGTGGTTACTGAAGCAAATATTAATCAAGAGCTCTTTCTTGTTTTCTCTTGGTTTAATGCAAATAAACTTACTGTCCACCCTAAAAAGTCTACTTACTCTTATTAATTTTTTTATCCACAGCGCAAACAGATTATCCCATCAGGATAAACATCTTAATAAATAACTCTCCTATAGCTTCTGTAAATGAAGGCGATCTCTACCTTCGGATACCCTAAAAACTTATATAATTCTCTCTTACCATATGTCAACTACTGCAATCTGGTGTAATCCGTGTCATAGCCTGCGCAGGTGGCGGGATTGGCGGGGGAGTGTTGCTGTTTTATGGCGGCCGAGCGCCGGAGCCGCAAGAAGTTTGGGAATAACTCAAATTGAAATTTTCCCTCGCGGCTCTTCCGCCAAGAAAGAGCCCCACGCGTAACTATCCCGCCAGCTACGCAAGCTATCCGTATAATCACCGTATCTCCAGACCTCCACGTACAAATTCTAAGCTTCTCTCCTACAAGCTCAATATTCTTTCTCTCCATTCAATCTTTAAATTCCATGTCTCCTGCTTTGTCTCATTTCAATAACTCTTCAGGGGCAGGGTCGGAGGGACCCGAACCACTCTCAACATATCGGACAAAATTACTTTATCACTAGACACAACAGACGAAAGTTTCAGAGATGTGTCCTTCACGAGTAGAACGTCTCATATCGGCTTTGCGTATCATCTAAGCAAGGGTCTACGCAGTAGAGACTAATGAAGTGTCGAGGAAGAGGAGAAATTATTTGCATCAAGGTTGTACACAAGTTGGACCCACCCTCTCCTCCCTTCCCTTAAGGAAAATTCCTCGATTCCCCCCTTCTTTACCAGCTACTCTCTCCTCCTTCCAACGTTTTTATCTTGGTTATCACAATTCCTCGACTCTTTCTCGTTTTGTGCCGTGTTTTGATGTATATAATGATCTCCCTTTTCCCGAGAAATATACAGTGAAAGACCATATTTCTAATACTAAACTAGAAAAAGGCGATCATTATTACATCCAAACACGGCACAAGGGTCTTTTTTCCCATTACAAGCTCATTCTAAGAAAACTTTACGAAAAAATGTCCCAAAAAGCGCTTGAAAATACAAACGAAATGCGCTCATGCCCAATGGGCATCCTATAATACTCCTTAAATCGAATTAATTCAATATGGCCGCCGTATCGGTAAAAAGGTCTATTTCTTTATTTGAAAGTGAACATAGTTTTACGCAAAGTTAGCTATAGTTTATTAGGTAATAGCCGGTATGGTACAACACAAACTATTTATGTACAATTTCAAAATAACACACGCAGTAAATTTACTTTTGCAAAAATTTAAACTTTGTTCTTTCACCAATTTAATCAGTCAAAAGTCAGTGACACAGTGGGAGTATTGGCTATAGCAGTGTCCAAGCGTTGCACTCAAGACTTACCAACTTGCCGAGTTTTTTGAACGGCTTCAAAAATATTCCTGGATAAGCGTGTCTCAATGGAGTTGATAACAATGACGCTTTTGTGAACGTTGTAAATTAGCATACGAAAAAAACATTACGTATGAAATTATTATGCAAGAAAATCAAATCTCACAAGTGTTTAGAAATTTTTCAGTCTAAGACCCTGTTTACATGGAGTGGGGGACCCCGGTCTAGTGGGGTAGGTTTCTTTTGTTTTGTGTCCCCCAGAGCGTGAAAACAAAAGAAACCAACCCTACTAGACCGGGGTCCCCCACTCCATGTAAACAGGCCCTAAGAACGACACTAACCGAAGAGGACATAGCGTATTATGCCGAGGAGGAGAGGAGGTTAATTGAAAATGGTACCCCAAAGTCAACTATTCGACTGAAAAAGTGTTCTTTAGAAAAAGTTTTCTGGAATGACCGAATGGTAGGTAAACAAAAGTCCAGTACTCGAGCCTTGCGTATTCACAGCTGGCAAGTCTTGAGTGCAACGCTTGGACACTGCTATAGCCAATACTCCCGCTGTGTCACTGAACTTTTGGGTGATTAAACTGGTGAAAGAACAAAGTTTTATTTTTTGCAATAGTAAATTTACTGCGTGTGTTATTTTCAAAGAACATTAAATATTCACCCACCATTTGTTGTGTAAGTTGCTGTGCTGATAATCAATATTCATAGGTCACGTGCAATAAAATAAAATGTCATCCTTATTAGTATTTTTTATGTAAAGAATACTAATGAGAATGAAATTTATGAATAAAGAATATCAGTGAATCAAAATACAATCAGCCCTGCACTCCCTCGAGAGTGAAATCAACTGCCGCTCGCAGGCTTTTTAGTTTGACAGTGTTTTACCGGGGTTTAAAACACGAGCTCGTGACGGATTTTAGAGGACGCGTCCTAGGTTGTTTACTTCATAAATTATTAATGAGTTAATGAAAGTAAAACAACACTTTTTATTAGTACAACCTTTTAAAGAAATGAAAGAGGACTTTGGCGTCGTCAAATTAAACATGTCTAACCTTCAAAAAACCGAAATTCCACGGGCTAAATCCACGGAATTACTCAAAAATCGCTCATCTATGTTAATCAAAACCGTTCTCTGTATAACTCCATACCAAAAGTAGGCTTAAAATTGATATATTAATATATATTTGTGTTTATTACAAGTGACTTGTGATAAGTGCTTGTGACTAACCCGTGTAAATATCGCGTGCAGTTATTTGTTTCGTTTAATGTAAAAACGACGCAACAGGTTATCAATAACATTATTTTAAGAAGAGTGAAGCGTCGTCTTAGCGACGCCTCTTGCACTTAGGAAATTCGAAATCAATTTGATCCGGTCCACGCTTTTGCGGCTGATTCAACTGCGTACGGTCATGATGATCAGGGGCCTCCTGCTGGGAATCCAAGACACGCTGCACATCAGCTAACAAACGGGACAATTTCGTAACGTCAACATGGTCGGGTCCAAGCTTATTCAATCGTATGGACAAGGCACGTTCATAATACTTCTTCGCCTGTTGATGGTCACCCAAGTCGCTATGTAGGATACCCATGCCAAGGTACGTAAGCGCGACGTCAACATGGTCGGATCCAAGCTTATTCAATCGTATGGACAAGGCACGTTCATAATACTCCTTGGCCTGATGATGGTCACCCAAGTCCCTATGTAGGATACCCATGTTATTATACGTACGCGCGACGTAAACATGGTCGGATCCAAGCTTATTCAGTTGCATGGACAAGGCACGTTCATAATACTCCTTGGCCCGATGATGGTCACCCAAGTGCTTATGTAGGATACCCATGTTATGGTACGTGCCCGCGACGTCTACATGGTCGGGTCCAAGCTTATTCAGTTGTATGGACAAGGCACGTTCATAATACTCCTTGGCCCGATGATGGTCACCCAAGTCGCTATGTAGGATACCCATGCCAAGGTACGTAGACGCGACGTCAACATGGTCGGATCCAAGCTTATTCAATCGTATGGACAAGGCACGTTCATAATACTCCTTGGCCCGATGATGGTCACCCAAGTGCTTATGTAGGATACCCATGTTATGGTACGTGCCCGCGACGTCTACATGGTCGGGTCCAAGCTTATTCAGTTGTATGGACAAGGCACGTTCATAATACTCCTTGGCCCGATGATGGTCACCCAAGTCGCTATGTAGGATACCCATGCCAAGGTACGTAGACGCGACGTCAACATGGTCGGATCCAAGCTTATTCAATTGTATGGACAAGGCACGTTCATAATACTCCTTGGCCCGATGATGGTCACCCAAGTCGCTATGTAGGATACCCATGTCATGGTACGTAAGAGCGACGTCAACATGATCGGATCCAAGCTTATTCAATCGTATGGACAAGGCACGTTCATAATACTCCTTGGCCCGATGATGGTCACCCAAGTGCCTATGTAGGATACCCATGTTATGGTACGTAAAAGCGACGTTAACATGATCGGATCCAAGCTTATTCAGTTGTATGGACAAGGCACGTTCATAATACTCCTTGGCCTGATGATGGTCACCCAAGACCCTATGTAGGATACCCATGCCAAGGTACGTAAGCGCGACGTCAACAAGGTCGGGTCCGAGCATATTCAGTTGTATTGACAGGGTACGTTCATAATACTCCTTGGCCTGTTGATAGTCACCCAATTGCCAATGCACGAGACCCATGATATGGTATATACGCACGAACCGCTCAACATGGTCAGGCCCTGTCCTTATCGTGTTGTCTTCAATGAGCTTTAAAGCTACACTGGAAAAATTCATCGCTGACACGTATTCGCTATGTAACCAGCAAACGTTAGCAAGCGTCTCAAAGTTATCTATATAATTGTATATATTTAGAATAGTGTTTTTGATGAGACCGAATTTCTCTTCAGTAGAGATAATGTTTGTAATTCCTACAGCTAGAGTTTTTAAGTGTGGAACAATGTGTTTGCTTCCAACGACGGAATCCTGACTTTGCAGGGTCTCTGGTATTGCTTTATGAATATACTGACTGCATGACCCTATTGCGACACAAGCAACGCGGGCACGTTCATTAGCCTCCATTTGGTCTTTAACTAAACGCTTGACAATATCGTGTACCACCTTGTGTAAACGAATGTTGACATCATCCTCTTTTTCGATTAGCAACAAAGAGGACCCTTGAATCTGAATGCCTATTTCCTCTTCATCCAATTCTTCATCAGCACTTACAACGTAAGTGGTTAACACGTCTAACCTCAATGGCTCTGGTGCACAAAATGCAAGAAAAGTAAAGGCGTGCTTCATTATTTCATCAGAATCCATTACCGTTTCAAGAGCTATCTTGGTCGCTAAAGTCATAGAGTTTGGGTAGATATTGTTTACATTGACAAGTTCCTTTTCAGTGAGTTCACGTTTGCCTTTCTCTAGTTTTTCTAAGTACCCCTCCCAGCCGAAGTTTGGATTGGTATTTCGCACCTTTCTCACGTACACTCCTGCGCTGGCTAGTGCAAGTGGCTGGTAATCCAATGCGTGGGCTACGTTTTTTCCCATGTCATTGTCAGTGATTCCAGAGAGCTCGGTTAGAAGGCAAATAGCATCAGCAGGCTCCATGCCTTTGCTTATGGAGATGTGGGATGTGAAGGAACTATCTGGAGGCATACAGGTACAATCTTGCGTTGTGATTAGCAGCTGGCCTTTGCCCCACTGCTCATTTCCACGCTCAGGAAGAAACTGACCTATCCAAGGAAGATTTGTGACATTGTCAATCACTAAGAGCCAAGATGAGTAAAGGTGAATTTTTGTCGCAATTAAATCTTTGATAATGGCTATTTTCCGTTCATCATTTAGATCCTTGGAGTTTTCGGTGGTATTCATAGTAAACTCGGGGCAGTGCATTTTTCTTGCCAGTGACAGGTATGATGTTAAAAGCGCTTCTGGGTTTTCAGCACTTAAGTTCATTACAAATGACGGAGCATTTGTGTCTTTGCTGGCTTCTTTGTAGTATTTCTCACCAACTAGTCCAGCCAGCTGGGATTTGCCACTCCCAGGATTGCCTGAAATATAACAATAACTTAAAGTGTTCTCGTTAGCCTTCCTTAAGTTTAACAGCTTCTGTGTTACGTTCTCAACGTGGAAATCGCGATTTGCGATCACATGGGGAGGTTTGGGTGGAAGGACGCAAAATGGCTCTACTTCGCGCTGTAGTTGCTCTTCAAACACCTTGCTTTGTTCTTCAGAAGTTTTTAGCCTGTCTTTGTTCTCTTGAAGTTCCGCCTCTTTCGTCTCAAGGTCTTGAGTAAGTTTCTGATTACTTGTCTTCACATTTTGCAACTCATCGGTTGGAAAACTTTTCTGCTTACTTACTGTTTGGATTTCAACAGTAGATAGGCCAAGAGCTCGAAATGCTTTCTCCACTTTTGCCACGGTGGTTTTGAAGTCTGCATTTGAGAACTGACCTTCTGTCCTGTGAGCGTAGAATTTATTTCGAAACTCTCTGAGTTTATGAACGTTTTTTCTGATCAGTTTACTCAGTCGAGGTCTGATAGAATCAGAATGCAGGATGGCATAAAATAGCATAGTACAATCCCACTGCGCCCTGTTTCCATTTACCATTGTGAGTAACTGTTCGGCATTTCTTGATTGATTATCTGCAGACTCACCGTTTTTAAAGTCCAGGCCATTTTGAGGCGTGTCGTTCCATTCACCAACTGTTGTCTTGTAACGATTGTCCCATTCCTGCTTGAACAGTAATCGTAAAGCTGGGGGTAGTATGTCAGTGGCTATGTAACAAACCCGGAAGTAGTTAAGCTGTTCTTCCGAATACACTTTAGAGGCCATTTGGTAACAGAAGGAGGGTAACAGTCTTGAAACCTGTTTTAAAAAAATTTAATACAAAGAATTTACCAAATGAATTAAATGTCATTGCCTGACACTTCGTGTATATTACAGGGATAAAGGGAATTTGCGTAATACTTTTATTTCACTAGAATAACCTAGAGAAAAAATACACAAATGTTCAGATAGCCTAAATAATAACACGTATGTGATAAAGAATTTTGAAATAACGTGGAAAGTGCACAGCTGACCACAACACGTGTTGCTCCGATCGACTTTAACGCAAACGTCGTTGCGGAACTACGCATTTTAAAACTGAGAAACTCTGACGAGGATTTGAGCCAGGGGCAAAATGTAATCCGGCAGTGTAGCATGCAAAACAGGTCGACTGAAGAGACCCTTTTTCACGATCGCACCCGAGGCCTGACGGCTATGGCAGGTCTGCTAATGCAGTTTCCAACTTTTGCTCTTAGTATGGAAAGACATTTTCTAATACAACAAAGTCAGGTTCTAAATATTTTAAATCTTCATCTTCAGAGGCTACTTCACGAGGATAATGATATTTTAAGCAGGAGCCCATAACCCGGAGCCCAGCAACTTCCATGCACTCGTGCCACGGCGTTTTCATGGGCCTGTTTATTTTTAGAATGGTTTTGACGCAAATTTTTAATATCTTAAATTCCACAAACCAGTCAGCAAAACCTACTGACCTAAAAATGATATTTTGTTGCCTTTTAACAAAAACGTTAAGCTTTCCTTTTTGATATCTTATACGTTGAATGTGCTCATAGACATGTTGGAGATTCTATTTTCGCGGGAAAAATTGCCCTAAAATGTTTCTAAAAATAAACTGGTCTGTACAAACGCCATGACAATAAGGCCTAGTATGGGAGTTGCTCGTTCCGGGTTATGGGCTGCCGTTTTAAGTTAATTCTGTGCTGAAGTCATTATTAGTGCCTTTACTCAATACATATAAAAGGTCCTGTAGAGTTACGAAAAAGATATCAAATAAATTTCATCAGGAAGAAGTAATTATAATGATTTTGGTGATTTAATTTTGCAGGCATAGCATTAAAACTTGAAAAATTTGGCCCAAGTTTTTCAAGTTTCAGTCAAGGTCCATCCTTGTGCTCTGTTGCAACAGACAACAGGAGACAGGTTTAATCTCTAGATATAAGCCAGCCTAAAATAACAAACCTGGCCCTTTTGGGGGGGGAGGGGAATTTGATTAATGCATTACAAAGATGGCATGACACATATAGCCCCATTAAGTTATTAAAAGATCAGTCTGAGATGAACCCAAACCACAAAAAATATTTACAGTTAAGCATCTTTAATTTTCCTATAGCCACTCGACGGGAAGGAAAAAAGAAAGTTTAGTGCCTATTATCTACTATTAATCCTTCCAAGAGAGGGTCTCTTGATTGATGACTTCTGAAAAGGTGGTTAGTGGGCATCTTTAAATCAAAAATACTAAAATTCATCTTTTGCCGATTTTTTCAGCCGATTCGGCACTTGAGGGCCAGATTTGGTTGCTTTACGCTCAAAAGTAGATTTTCCCGAAAACTGACTGGGTCTTGGATTGACCAGGTTGCACCAGGGAAATCTGACGAAAAACCAAACTGCTAGTTAAGCAGTTTTCTGTGTACTGGGTATTGTTTTTGGGCTACAAAGAATGAAAAAGCCAGCCCCTACTCCACCCCCCAACCCCTCTGTCAAGCAGTTTCAGACGCTAAATATTGGCCTTCGAACTGAGTCTGGGCAGGCATGTGCTAAAAGGGGTTCAGTGACACAGCAGTTCAACTTTCTTCCCCACCCTCTTCTTTCGCTTTTCATCCTCCGTTCATTTTTCATGTTTTGCTGTGCATTCATTAATTAGAGACAAGCCTTCATTTCGAAAGAAAAAAATGGGAAGGGGCGGAGGGCATTTAGGATCATATGATTAGATGGAAGGAAGTGCTGGCATGATGATATTGCTGTTTTAGGTCAATTCTATGCTGAAGTCATTAATTTCATGGCAATGCCTTTACCACTATACAAAATCCTCCTGTAGAGCTAAGTTAGAGTTAAGGACGCTATCAAACAAATTTCATCACGGAGCACTATTATAGCAATCATAATATTTTCTTTTTTGGTCATGAGTTTTGAAGGCATAGCATTAAAACTTTCAGTCACATGTCCATCCTTGCCATCCTTGGGAACAGAAGACTGGAAACAGTTTCAATGCCTAAATATGGCCCTGAATAATTTTTGGACTTCGATAGACGCAAGAAACGTTTTAGCTTTTTAAAAAGATAGTAGATGGCATGACAAAGTTCCTTTAAGGGATGGGGTTATCATGAGGTACATCTTGACAGGGAGCGTTACCTGACAACCAACAGAACATGCACTCTCGTAACTCAGGTGACACTAGAAACCATGCAAGTATATAAGATCACCCTTCAACTTTACTGATGCTTCTAAAGTTATCTTTTAAATAACCAAAAAGAATAGTTTAGACCGCTTGCAGTCTGCATTTTCTCTTAGACCCATCGAGTTATTCTAAGATGGAATGAGTGCGTATGTAGACATTAATAATTTTTTTATACTACTACATAAAAAATAACTGCAATTTGATTGGCTTAGAGCAGTGGCATTTCAGCTTAATTTAAAATACCAACACGTGAAAATTACCTTTGCCGGTAGTAGTATAAACAAACAATAGCATAATTTGTACATTTGGCATAACTACCACTCGTGATATTTCAAATTCTCTCAAATTTCACTCTCCGTTACATATAACAATTTCGAAATATCACGCGCGGTATTTATGCCAAATATCACTAAACATCATGTTATTACCTATACAAATCGGATCAAAAACCCCTCTAAAATAAGAGACTGCTCGCAGTCTACAAACAGTTGTCTTACCTTTTCAATTTCCTTCCTCTGCCTCCTCTTCTCTCAATCAAGGCACCGTTCAGATTACATTTATTAACAACTGCGCGTGAAAAGAAAAAAAAAGTAACAGTTTTAACAAGAATTTAAGCTTATGAAATGAAATGCTACGGGAAAATTCTAAGAATTTTGTGGACGGAACACAGAACGAACGAATCGAGAGGGGAGGAACTGATCGATGGTTAGAGAACTTTAAAAATCAAAAGGCGGACAGAAGCTGAAGTACTGTATGTTGGTCATTTTAAAAGAAGGCATAGTTTGGAAAAAGTCATCGTGTAGGGATGGGAAAGGAAAAATTGGGGAAGACCGAGAAGGAAAGGGGAAAAGGGTACATGCAACATTTTTGACAAACCATTAGAGAGCTTGAACTTTTGAGCCACGCACGTCAACCGGAAGTAAGTTTTCTTCCCTTTTTATATGCCTTGATGCTACCAAATTGTATTGCTAAGTTTCTTTACTCTTAAAACAGGAGACTTGCTTGAAAATATGAGCAAAACCATGCCTAGAATGCAAAAAGCCCACTTCCGTTTGACCTGCGAAGTACTACAGAAGGACGTCTATGCAACGTTTAGTTATCTATAACCAGTTAGAGAGGGAGAGAGAGAGAGTGATTACTTTATAGGAGATTTTAAACATTACTTACCGCTTATGTGTACAATATTCGGCTCCAAAAGGAAAACTGCTCTGTATGGACAATGAAAACAAAACGCGATAGAATCGGTGTTCGGCTTCAAACAGAAAATTTCATTCGTAAGCACGTTCTGTCTAGGACGTAGACTTTACGTTATCGATCACGCGATGATCACGGTGGATCACGAGATCATTTACCCGCTACAATAGGTCAGCGGTTGAAGAAAAAGTCAATGGGTGTAGGGTGGGGGAAATTTTATGAACATGGAGTTGACGCCAGGCCATATCTATTCCAGGGAGATGGTACACTGTCTGGATGTGCAATTTCAGAAAGCGTAGAAAAGATGAAACCCTGGCCACTCGATGGTTTATTTTTCGTTATTTATGCTGTGGGCTCTGTTCTGGCTGAAACTCCAACGTCTGGGAACGATATAGACACTTCTGGAGAAAATAATTCCACGATCAAAGACACGAAAATGTTGTTTTGTATCCTTTTGGTCCTAATTACTGTACTTTTTTTGCAAGCTTTTAATATAATTAAGCTTAACTAAAAATATTCCACCTGATAAGAACTTCTTTAAGAGACAGCGGGCTTATTAGAGCTTATTGTTACAGTTTCCTATCTTCGCTCGCAGATCGTTCAATTTTTAAAGAAAAACGTGCTCAACAAGTCGTTGCTGCAGCAGGGTTGTCATTAAGAGCCGGGGGCCGGGGATTTTCCCCGGCTACTAAGAGAGTGGCCCCCGGCTACTTTCATTGGAAAATAGAAGAAAAATAAAACAGAAAGAAATCCCTAGCCGTTTGATTCACCGCCTACTTGTTGTATTTACCCGGCAACTTGAAATCTTAGTGACAACCCTGTGCAGAGAGTATTCTAAAGCTTGCTGATTGTTCCAAGCAGTATAAGATGGTCGAGATAGTACTTGAAAAAATTTTAAGGTAATTAATGTACCAATTTACAAATACTACTTTTGACATACGTTCCTGAGTGAGGGTGGGTAGAAAACAAAGACCTAAGACCTAAGACCCAAAAACGAAGACCCCCTTTAAAATCACTTATAAATATCTAGAAACGGGTATCTCGACCTTTATAGATGTGTAAGAAACAACAATATCTTCAATTATACAAAATTTCGACCAGGGTCTTCGTTTTCTACACAATCCTTCCGGTGTGTAGAAAATGAAGACCCCCCTCAAAATCACTTGGAAACGGCTGAACACCGCTTTTAACGACTTCTAGACACTGAAGGATTGTAAGAAACAACACAGCTCCTGACGATTAAACCCATGACAACATTAAGATCTCCCGAGTGACGTGGTTATTTAATGTCAGAAGAAATCCAAAATCCATATCTTACAATGTATGTAATATTTTCCTAATTAAATACATATTGACTTTTCTATGGAAAGTGTTTCTGTTTCATTTTAGTTTTACTTTGTAGAATTCATCATGATAATACTCATTAAACTCGTGGTACAGTCAAACCTTGTTAACACAAACACTTAGGAGACCATAGAAAGTGTCCGTAGTAAGTGGATTCAATATTAAGGGGAAGATGTAAGACCTTTCTTTTTCCTAGGACAACTGTCCCTTGTTCTTGCACTCGTTGCAGGTTCTCACATCCCTCCTTGTGATGTTAAGAGTAGAACTGAAGAGCTGTGGAGAGTCTAGAATTTTATTGGAGAAGTGTTTCTCTTCTGTGCAGGGCTTTTCCGAAGGACACTGAAATAAGTGGCTGGAGTCTGTGTGATTTTCATTTATTAAGATTTTGTAAAACAACAGGTACTAACACGGGTTACAGGTTTTTTTCGGTACAAAGTTATTTCAATACAAGTTTATTGAGTGAAGTTGTAATATGATTTCACATACAAAATACTTGGCTCAAAGAACAAAGAATATTCACACAAAAGGTGTTTTCTGGTTCACGCACAAACTGGCCATAATAAGAACTCGGAAACATTTCTATCGTCAGTAATAAAGACGTGACTGCGAGCAGAGACTTAAGACTCATATTTTTCAGATAAAAATGTTGACGCTGATGGAAACAAGGCTGGACTTTAACCCCCTGACGACTCTAACATCTCCGAGTGACACGGTTATTTAATGTCATGGAATGGGGCATTTTGATGGCTATCACGGAAGACATGACTTTGAACACTTTAGGGAAAGTTCATTTAATATGACAAGGGGGGGATGAAGATATTGAGGGGGGGCTCCGAAAATTTTTAGACACCCGAAGGGGGGGCTCTGAAAAAATTGTTGCGCTAGGAGGGGGGGCTCCGAAAATTTGTATACTTCAAAACCAACACATGACATCATCATACAGATCGGATGGTTTTCAACTCAACAATTTAATGACCTGTGCAACTCAGCTATATCACGTGGTTTACAGATATAACAAATGTAGTCTCAGTAATCATTACACTCTTGTTCATCCCAAATTGTTCATTCATTGTTCATTCATTCTTGTTCATCTCAAGTTTGTCATAGTAATATATAGATTTAGCCAGGGCTAAAAGCGAGGCTCCCATTAGTAAATTTATAATTTAAATTAAACAATAAACTTGTATTCGAATTCCACAATTCAGTTAACTTTAGAGCACATTTATGTGACTTTTGAGGGAAAGGCTACCTGATTTTAGAGAAAAATAATTTGCAAACAGCCCAAGAGTGAACCAAATCTTACATCGAGTTGATAGCCTCATATGTACACTCAAAAACTGGTAATCATCTTTTATCACATTTAAGAGCCGTAATGGCTATTGATCACCGTAGATCAATTAGGCTCAGAAAAAAAACCAGGCCAACGTTTTGGCGTTCGACAAGTTTACTTTGCAAAATCTTGCCAACAAATCTGGGTGCGTGTATACCAACCTTTTATACCATGGACAGAAAGCAGTATTTCACAATACAAATTGCTCTCATTCAATATTCATAAACTGTTAAAAAAATTTTCCAAAATCACCTATACGGCCATCCGGTTCTCACTTTTGTAGTGCGAGCTGTAGCGAGTGTTTGAATGAACATTAACAGAGTTACGCTCCAAGATAATAAAGAATTTATCATGTTTATTTTTTATTTGATGGTTTAACGCGCGGCATTTTGAGAACTCCTGCAAGCGATGTTCACTGACCGACTGAAAACAATCGGCATAGCGATTAAAATTGCAAGAGAGACTACTAACAATCAATAAAAGAAATATAATTCGGTGAAACATAAACAGAGACAACAATTTTCATTCAGGAAGACAAGTATTAAAGTGTCCCTAAATATCCTGAATCTTCAAGCTTCAAGCTTAAGTTTGCTGAAGTTTATGTTTTAAGCCAGCTTCCCGGTGTTTGTTTTCTCAAAGACGAACTCGAGGCAACAAAATCGCTCAAAGCTTTCTTTTCCGGCTAGAATTATAACTAAAGATTCTTTGGAACATTTTCTTTCTATTTGCGGTGAGAAACTGTCTAAAGGCTTTTTAAAGTTCTGTAAGATTATATCAAACCAGATACTCGGTGAGATCGTTGTCTCAAATCTTACAAACGCGCATAAACTAAATTCCCGCATAAACTACGCTCTACTTCATTAAATTAGATACAAAAAACAAACATGAAATACAATAATTTCTCTGGCTTACCATTCGAGATGCAGCTCCTGAAAGTTATCAGGTAAAGCCAGTATCGCTTCAGACTTTGCAATCCTCTTACGCATCAAGCAAGGTGAAAACGAAAACGATGCCATCCGAAATCGGATTTCCGACTTTGACAAGCGACGTTTTCTCAACCAAAAACCCAATAAACAAACTAGCCATGAGTAACAGAAGACTCCTGATAGCAGCTGAATTTCATTTTGTACATCCAGTGGAAAAAGACAGTTAAAAACATCACAAGTTGACACAAAACTCTGTCAGCTTCAGCTGTTAAAGTAAACAAGATTCAAGATGCTGCATAAATTTTGCGCATGAACTCACCTGTCAAATTTTGACCAATCAGAGCATAAAAATTGGACGTAGAGCGTGACCAACGCGTGACCATTGTGAGAAAAACAAAAGCAACTGTCTTCCCTGCCTGTAACAGCTGGCTGAATTTTTTCACGTCCGAGGTCAGTTTGCAATCAAAATTTTAATTGTGCAGCACATAAACACAATATATTTCATATGAATTAAGAAAAAAAATTGAACTTGAGCCTGCGATCACTTGAAAACTAGTTTACTTGTCAGCGGATAACTTCAAAAATACTTGACCTCGACGGGTCGACACCTGAGCCCGCGATACGGTCAAGTGATACTGGTCAGCGGGTACTCTGTTTTGACAGCTGTCAATTGATCAAAACATTGATGTCCAATATGTGTGCATTATCAGTTTTCCTGTGCTCCCAAACTAGTAAAAGTATGAGATTGAACGTTGTTCGCGATCTAGTAAAACAGTTAACTGGTCAGCGGACAGCTTCCAAATAAATCACGTCACCTCGATGAGTTGACACATGAGCCCGCGATATGGTCATGGGATACTGGTCAGTGGCTATCCTGTTTGGACAGCTGTCAATTGACCATATTGTTAATGTCCTATATTAAAGATGTGGACTTGCCAAGACACGCCTCAGACACCCCTCCCTTCCTTTTGATAGTCTCCCCTACCCCACCCATACAATCTGTAGACGCGTACGTACGTACGTACGTACGCTCGGTCAATCACGTGACAACCAAACGAAAAGAGGTTGACCATATTCCATGGGTATGGGGCTCTGTCCCACGCGCGCTTCGCGCGCGCGGGAGCCCCGCTATAAACCATTGAAGACAATAACGGTAAATATATTTAATACAGTCTAGCGATCTTTTTTCAGGGGAGCAAAGGAATTGAAGGAGGAGGTGGGGGGCTCTGAAATTTTTTCGACTACCAAGGAGGGGGCTCCTAAAAAATTGAACCGCTAGCGAGGGGGCTGCTAAAATTTCAAGCTTCGAGTTTCAATATCTTCACCCCCCCCCCCCCTCGTCATATTAAATGAACTTTCCCTTACAGCAAAGGATGCTTCCACAAAAAACTTACACGAAGACCGCGGTAGAAATTTTGTATAATTGAAAATCGTAATGAGCCATGTTGTTTCTTACACTCCTTTAATGTCTAGAAGTCGTTAAAAGAAGTGTCCAGCCGTTTCCAAGTGATTTTGAGGGGAGTCTTCGTTTTCTACACACCAGGGGATTGTGTAGAAAAGGAAGACCTTGGTCGAAATTTTGTATGATTAAGAATCGTCAGGAGTCGTTTTCTACACAGTCATACATTGTGTAGAAAACGAAGACCCTGGTCGAAATTTTGTATAATTGAAGATATTGTTGTTTCTTACACATCTAAGGTCGAGATACCCGTTTCTGGATATTTATAAGTGATTTTGAGGGTGGTCTTCATTTTTGGCTCTAAGGTCTTACGTCTTTGTTTTCTACCCACCCTCGTGAGTGAGGGCTCGAGCACCCAGCAAATAACCTGACTTCTTAATAAAATCAGGGTTCTCTTGGGTCAGAGGGGTTGACCATTGGATTAGATGTAGTATCCCCAATGAAGCAGTCTGCAGGGCACGCGCTTTAATATTTTAGTCAAACAAACACTCAGTACATTTGTCAGTAGCTACCATCTTTGATCTCAAAAACACTGGGAGATTGGGCATAGAATACAAATGTAATGGCACTGTTCTAAACAAATACTGATAAAATGAAGATGGGGGGAGGGAATTCTCACCTGTCTACCCAAACCTCCCAGATGTATCACAATCAATAATAACTGTTTTCAACCAAGCAAAGCCTGGTGCTCTCTATCTTAATAAGCGTCCCCACGCAGATGTGTGTAGGCATTCATCACCCCTTCCACCCCCACAGTCCATAAGGAAGGAATGGGTGACGAATCCGGCCCTAAGGACATCTGTGTAAGAGGCTATGTTATCTCTTGATGACAGTAAAATTATGTAGTCAGTTCACAATCAGTTGCAATAGCATGCAGCTCCATGTTTTTTTTTTTAATATTCAAAATAAAACTTAAAGTGACTGAAATAAAATGAAATTTAAGTTAAAATTATTTCAATGCAGTTTGATGAATTCTCAATTTCATTCTTTCTACAGTATTTCTAATCATTGGTCAGAAAAGATAGTACTGTAGTATTAATTTTAACTAGGCTAGGATCAGGGAACTTTTTTGTTTCTGTCTTTATGATTAGGCTAATGGGAGGGAGACAAAGGAACTTGAGAATCAAACTAGGCTGAAATTATTTTTACCTCTGTCAAAATTATTTCATTTTAAAGGCAAAGATTAAGTCTGTAATTCTATCATTCCAATACAAATTTCATTTTGAATTACAACTGATAAGTCTTTATATTTATGAACTGGATTTTTTTTGTTCAGGTTTTACAGGATGCAAGAGTCATTAAAGTAACAGAGTCAGGATCCCAGGACAAGCATTTCTCACAGAACAAGCACAGAGGGTGACCTGGCTAGAAGGCGACCTGTGTTATAGACCATAATTTGCACTAAGAGGTCATTATGTGATATTGTTTTTATAAAAATGTAAGTGATATATGATTTTACCTTTGAAAAACCATGATTATAGTGGATCATTACAATTTTAAACAGTAGTGATTTGGTTTTTCAAACTCGCACTATTTTCTTAAAATGAGTAAGATCGCAGCTGGTCACGTGTGACTAAAAAGTGAATTTGAAAATTATGAATACCTCTTTCTGAACACAAATTTTGTACTTAACTTAAACTTCAAGGAATTCAAATGTTAAAAAGGTGATGTGGTAACGTTTTCCCCTGAGCACATTTGAGTGTTAAACCAATGTGTAACAAGATGCAAAAGCAAGGAAAAAGTAGTTGTGGCCACATGGCGGCCAATACAAATCAATTTCTTACTTTGTTGAAAAAATCAAGGTGCCATACAATATCTCCCTTAAATGTGTTTCCTCTCAAATTTTATGTGCACTGTCAATTTTTGATATCAGCAAGATTCCAACTCGTTGTTTTAAAAAAGGAAGCATTGGTCATGTGAGCTCTTAATTTAATGCAAGTGGCCTATTGATGGTTGGTAGTTTTAAAAATGTTAGTGAATTAAGCTTTCATTTTTGAACACAACTGTCATGTCAGAAGGACTAAAGTTGTTGATTGATCCAGTTTAGCGCTAGTCCTTTGGGGTTGTTTTACAGCTGAGCAAATTGAGCTTGGGTCGAAGCAGCAGAAAAATTTCAAGTTTAGGGGAATTATGCTTTAGGTATATCTTGACATAGTTTACTGTCTTTGACAAAGAATACCCATTTTTTTAACAGCTCTGGCAAATGTCTTAGAGAACACAGCCCTCTTTGGTGAATTTCTTCTTCGACTTTCTGATATAACACATGAGGTAAACAAAAGATATTTATTTTACAGTTTTAAAGGCTTTTTATAAGTCTAAAAGGTGTGTACCTGGTAACTTGATTTTTGCTAAAAAGGAAAAGTAGCATTTCTACAATAGACATTTCCAGTCACATGTCTGTGAACAAAGGCACCAAGTCGAGGCTTGGGAAGAAAGGCAAATACATAAGTGATTTAATTAATGTAAGAAATTGTCAGATATTGCATGCCTTCACCTCACTTCCTTGCGTTTGTGCAATGGAACACTCAATGCAGGAAGGGTCGATGCACAGCTGACTGGCCACCGTCGGATTTCAATTAGGAGCAACCATAGCCACACAACAGAGGGTAGTCTGCCTGTGTCAATCTGCTGTGCTGTTATTATTACTGCAGTGAGGAAAAGGCTAATAAGGAAAAAAGAATTTAAACAAATTAATATTTGCCTGTATGAAACTGTTGAAAACCTTCAGTGTATGTCACTCTTTGCCCTCCATTCATAACAAAACTGTCGCTGAGAGAGAAACAAAATACAGCCAAACCTTCGTACAACAGTCACCCTTCGGAAATGGCATTAAGGTGACCGTTATATACACGGCTGGTGACGGCTATATACAGGTCAACTTTGCAGAAAATATAATTAAGGCAACTGGAAATTTTGGGAAGTTGTCGGTGACCGTAATATTAGGGTGACTGCTATATATATACAGGTCAACTTTGCAGAAAATATAATTAAGGCAACGGGAAATTTTGGGAAGTTGTCCGGTGACCTTAATATACAGGGTGACTGCTATATACAGGTCAACTTTGCAGGAATTATAATCAAGGCAACTGGAAATTTTGGGAAGTTGTCCGGTGTCCGTAATATACAGGGTGACCGCTATATACAGGGCAGTGATAATACAGGTTTGACTGTATTACTTTCATTAGAAACCAAGAAAGAGACTAAATGGAACACCTCCGTGTGCGTAGGAATTACTGCTTATGGTGATTTCAAACAGGGTTTGTCAAGGCTGCCGGAAGTAGAGCTGCCCGCTTACCTGAGTTTCCTTCTACTTCTACTTCTACTATATTACTTCGCAGAGCCTGTACAGCTTCACGCGAAGGATCCGTATATCAAGGTTGACCACAACACCGGGGTCTACGACCCCTACTCTTTACGAACAGTGTGTGGGTTCTTTAACGTCCCACAGTATTAATATAGGTAAGGATTGTGAGACGGGGCCTACGGTTTTTCGTCCTTATCCGAGAAGACTAGAAAGTCTAACCATTTGCAGATGTCATTACAAAGGCAGCACTTTCTTCTCAGTTATTATTAAGACCCTGAGTATTGGTCCGGCCGGGGCTTGAACCCGCGACCTCCCGCTCAACAGACCGGTGCTCTCCCAACTGAGCTAACCAGGCGGCGGTTCAACAGACCTTCTTTTTCTTATTTGTTTTGCAAAATAGTTAGACTGTGTTATAATGATATTTTTCTAGGGGCTGTGTCACGACTGTCTAGTTCATTTTGTAAATAGGAAACTTAAACAAAGGCGTTTTTGAGCGACGCACGTTAACCGGAAGTAGACTTTTTACATTCTTGAGCAGTGGTTTTGCCAAAATTTTCAGTTAAATCATCTCTGCAAGTGTAAAGAAACTAAGCAATACAAATTTTATAGCATCAAGGCGTATTAAAAAGGAAAAGTCCTGACTTCGGTTGACGTGCGTCTCTCAAGAAAGTAAAAACGCCTATGCTTAGCTCTCTAATTTTGCCAATTACGTGTTCTTATTTGCTGTGGAACTTCAGAAATTACTTGTGAATGGCAAAATTACAGCTTCATGTCAAACAAATATGTCTCCCAGGCATTATATCAAACGTTACAAAAAACAAAAACGAACTTTTGTTATACTAGCACTTTTTCAAAAACGATAATCGCCATCTGTACCCGGGGGGGTGGGGGACTCCGCATATGAAAGGGGTGGGGATGCTTGTCGTCTCACTTAGGGGTGTAAATTCACACGATCCCTACCTTTGTAATAAGGACACTGCAGTAACGCAGACGCTTCCCTCTGTCCTTGTGGTATCCGCAGTGACAAACTACCACCACATTGTTTCTCCCCAAACAGGATAGCCCCTCAAAACCTCACTAATGCTGCCAGATTGTTTGGCCTTCGAGTAGTCGCACGAACGGGTTTCATTGTTTTTTTCTATTTCCTGTTGTTAAGTTGGGGCTTTTAATTAAATGTGGTAACCCTTCTTCACCTTTAACATTTTCTAGATCTCTCTGATGTCGTGCACAAGCTTCATGAAACATTTATCGCCTTAGCAGCACAGCTTCATGAAATTCACGAGGCCGTCAAGGTAAAGCCTGGTTTCGTTATAAGGCAGCCAGCTACAATCTTGGACAAAACTGTTTAGAAAATTGCATACTTGGGGAGCATTTTCCTAAACATCCTAGTTCTATCGATTCTTCTCACTCCCCCTCCCCCCGGAAGCAATGTTGTGTGTTCAAAAAAAGCCTGATTCCTGAGCGTTTGCAGGAAGCATCATTGAACTGGGGGAAGGGGATTTCTTTCCGCAAAGCCGTTGTTTTGGAAATAGTTTTGTTGCGTAGGATAGTGCACATTATGGGAAAAACGTTCTCAAGTAGTTTTGCCGGGATTGTAGCTTGTTTCAGGATCTTAGGTAGTCGGAAGGAGAAAAAAAGAAAGCGAGCGCGGAAAAAGGCAAGACAGAGAAATGGGAAGAAAGGTGGAATGTGGAGGGTTATCCCGCCCTGTCCCCTCCCAGTCCTTGTGTGTTGTGTCTTGCGTCCGCTTTTCTTTTCGCTTCTCTCGACTGAGCCGAGCTAGAACAGACTAACAGCTGGATAAAATTTGGACCCCGCATCTATCCAGGCGATTATGATTTCCTTTGCCTCGTCCCTTTACGGCGTTTTCCCAGCCCTTCTCCATCAATTCACCTGGTGACGTATCCGAGGCAAACGGGCAGACCACGTGACCCGAAACTTATTCGCCGCGCGGAATAATGAGGCTTACTGGACTAGGTAATGATTTCCCTAAATTGTCCCGATTACTCCCCAACACGTTAGAATTATGTGCATATGATTGTCTCGTTCGCCTGAAAACAGTTTGAGGCGGCGCAGACGATAAAATGGAAACTGCGCTTTAGGTTTGGCATACTTAAGCAAACAGGGCTCGTACGAATCATGAAAGTCCTAAAAAACGATCCACATTGTACCAACTCTGAACAAAGAAAACATTAAATAATTATGCTGCAGAATAAACATTTATCCATAAATTAGTTCAGCTTTCGCTTTAACATGACACTGATGTTGTCGTAATCTGAATGAAGAAAAAGACATTTATTGTGTCAGTAGCAAAAACAACTGTTCTAGTTTTCTTAAAAAAAAAATACCCTGTGCAGGCTCTAAAACTATTTACCTTCGTCTCTTACGACGGATAATGATTTTGGAAGTGGATCGCAACTTTTAAAAATAGTAAAGCTAACCTTTTCAATTAGTTTTATTGAGTGTTGGATAATATTCGATTTTTTACCTTCTTAGTATTCTCCTGAAAATTATACAAACACGTTTCTTGATCGTACATGATTGACCTCTCTTCTTTCTTCTTTTCATCCGAAATCATTTTTTGTTTCTTTTTTCTCTCGAAGATATTAGCGTATTATTCAAGATGACATAAATTTAAGATTATGTTGTTTTTTTTCGCTCCATATAGTTTTTTCTTTGAGACTCCGATATTACTGCGCTTTTCAAAAACACGCAAACTCTGAAGTTCAAAAGCCGCCTTCAAAATTGGGCGTTTTTCACTGCCGTCAATCATAATTAGGATGACAAGCAACCAACCTTGAAACACAAACACACAAAACGGATCGAAATCCACTTATCACAAATCACAAACCATGACCTTTTGAATCCGTTGAAGTAAACTTCTGTTTCCTAAGAGCCCCGCTAAGATGATTGACGGCAGCGAAAAACGCAAACGTCAGTTGGCTTTTGAACGTCAGAATTCGGGTGTTTATGAAAAGCGCAGTGAGAGCATAAAGATATTCTCCATCCTCACGCAAAGATGATGATTAAAGTTTGAAAATGATGAGTATCTGAAACATTTTTTTTATTGCACCAGGTTCAAAAGGAACAATAGGGCCATTTATACGAGGAAAAATAAGACGCGTCTTAAATAAGACGCGAACTTTCCGTATAAACGGCACATTTCGTCTAAAATAAGACGCGGCTTAGCTAAGACGCGTCTTATTTTAGAACAGCCCTTAACACCTGTTCTTAGATAAGACGCGTCTTAGCTAGGACGAGAAAAACTTCGTATAAATGACCTTCGTGTCTTACATAAGACCCGAACCCATAGTACGCATACGTTAATTTTTGGCGCGCCACGTTGGATTGACGTTGCTACGGGCAACATTCACATGAAAACGAGTCAACAACAGAAATAAGACGCGAACCATTTATACGAGCTGTTCTCGTCTTTTAGATAAGACATGCTCGTATAAATGGTACAGTTCGCGTCTTATTTTTCCTCGTATGAATAGCCCTAATATCTTAACTACAGAAGGGCGTATTTCAAGGACACCACACATGTATTTTCAAGCGTCTTAAAGGATCTATCGAAGACAAGTTAGCATATTGTCCATGTTGTAGTTTAATTTTATCCTTGCTTTAAAACTCATTTTACTTCTTACGTGGCTTATTTTTGGCTATATCAGATATCAGAATGTCCATTTATCACTTCAGACGATTTTAAATTTTATTATTTAAGACACTAACTCGCTTCTAAATTTTTCTACGATTGGCGCTTTAACTTTCCTCTTATTCTTTTTGTTCCTCAGGTGCAGAATTTAGCCTTGGTCCCAATCCTTTTCGTGTATTATCCAATAATTCAGCGTCTGCTTCGTCAACCGCCACAAATATATCAGGTATTGAATTTACTGGATATTTCGTGCGTGTGTTGTCTATTGAAAGCGGCTTACAGCATTTCGTAACAATAATGGCAATATCATGATTGCTTTTTACGTGTAATTGCCTGCAAGGGTTTTTCCACAGCGTCCAAAGTTCTTTTGCCCTCCATGGCAGATTTTGATCAATTTAGGTTTCTGGGAAACTGCCAACCTACCCCTCCCCTAAGCTAACATTAACACTTACTTCTCACTTAGGGCAAAATGATGGCTTAGGGGAGGGGTAGGTGGGCAGTTTCTCAGAAAACTAAATTGATCCGTAGATTTTATGACCCATTACTGCTCTCTGCTCACCCGATGAGCTTTAAGAATTTCGCAAAAGGCACCAAGTTTGAATATTAAAACCCAGTATACTGGGACAAATTGCTACAACGCCAAGAAGAGTTCGAAGGTGATTTCCACCCATTTTACAAAAATTGCGAGGTGAAAGGGGAGAAGTCGGCAGTTTACTAAATATTGCTTTGCAGTTCCCAACGTTTTTTAACTCCATTGTACATCTACATCATAACTTAGCAAAGGCTGCTTATGGCGCCGAGAACTATAGAAATCTTGTGGAATTGCTTGTAAGTGACAAAGCCGACTTGATAACATTTGTTACCCTAGGGATTGGCAGTTTTCAGACAAACCCTGCCGGTTTAACAGGTTCTTTGGGGACATCAGGAACAGCGCCTCTGGGAAATCCATTTGGCACCACCACAGGACTCGGTAGTACCAGTCTAACATCAGGCTCCACCTCTCGGGACCAACACTTCAGGAGCCACGGGTCTCGGAGGGACCACTGGATTTGGGACCCCGCGTCTTACGGGAGGATTTGGTACCCCTGCCCTTGGGTCCTCCACAGGAGGAGCTTTTGCCTCCACCGGGACAGGACTTGGGGGGACCGGTTTTGGCAACGGGACTTCAGCGTTTCCTACACAACCAAAGTTTCAGCTTCAAAGGCCACCGGCTGGTAACAAGCGAGGCTAAAGGAGATGAAACAAGCGGGATATATGTTGATTTAAGCACGCAATTGAAGCTACTTGTGTTCAACATAGTATACTCGATCTACATACGCATGCGTAAGGGTTCTGTAGACTGTTTTGATCTAATGTCCAACATCTTGCAGTGCAGCGCGTAAGTGAAAACGTTGAAGGAGGTTCAATATTAACGTTTACGGGCGACCTTTCGCCGGTATAACGCCTTTATTGTGTTTTAGCAAGTAAATGATACGTCTATGCGCACCTTAAAATTACTCGACAGTGGAAATCCACCGTAACATCAGAATGTTAGAACAACCTCAGTCCAAACTCCCGGTACACTGCGCGAAAATACAAGGTAGCAAAGTTGATGATCAGTTAAGCAAACAATGGTAAGCGTGCACGGCGTTTAGAATCGTGAATCAGTGAAGCGTGGACGCGTCGCCGCTATATAAGAAGCGCTAAATAGTATTTCTTGCCCCTTGTTAAGCGCGTGAATAAAGATCCCCGTTCGGATCATGATTCAAACTCGCCTGCAAAACGTATCTGAAAAGTGATACCTGTTCTACGGGCGTTACCTTTTGTTTGGCTTAAGGTACGGAAAAACGTGAAACAAAAAACGTGCAACTTGTTTTGCAACATTGCTGCAAAACGAGTTGAATAGCGATGTTGCGTGTTTTACCACCCATGTTCAAAGCTGTTAACAATCTGATTTCTTGCAAAACAGGTTTAATGTGGGTGGGAAAAGCGCAACGTCGCTTTTCAACTCGTTTTCAGGAATGTTGCAAAACAAGTTGCAGGTTTTTTGTTGCCGGTTTTTCCGTACCTTTACCGTAAACTTACATATATATAAAGCGACTAGCAACGCCTCAAGACAAGCCGGTTTACGAAGCAATTCGGCGACTTGTTTGTGATCTCCTCCGCTCTGTAGTAACTCCTTGGGCGAAGGCCGATACGAATTTAGCGCAAAGCCCAAACACGAGAGCTGTAGCAGGCTAGTAACCATTCGCAAACGCATTTTTGCGTGGTTTGCTGTTAAGATCGTTTTCAGCTGTGTCGCTTATTATAATAAACAGAAATAACTAATAATATTGTGGGGGTGTGCATTTAAGTACTGAGTAGCACTAAGTACTAAGTAGTCTGTGCTGTCTAACATTTAAGTGAAATCCTGGAACCTGTGAGACTCAGGCCAATGAGCTCACTGACTGTCCTTTGGAGTCAGCAGCATATCGAACCAATGTTTGTGTCACCACTGTTGTTACCAAGTATAGCTGTTTGCGCTGTGTAGATTGGCTTATTTATTGTTTTGACTCTCAAGGGAAAGAGCTTTGGCGATTTAAAACTGGCGCTCCCATTTTTCTTTCCTACCCACACTGAAAGAAAATATGATTCCACAACCACTGGGTATATTGTTTTCCGATCTCATCATAATTAAGGGTACTGTTTAGCACTCGACGGAAGATGCAGTGAGATGCAGTAGAATTTTTGAATAACGCTATCCACTGTTGGATAACGCAATTGGTTTCCGTGACACTTACCCAGCACTGGATAGTAATCTATTCGGTGGATAGCTGGGTCCAACTTACTAGCATCTGGAACCTGATGGACAAGTTTATTCCTCAATTGAATTTCAAGCAAATTGTCACGCAACAAGATGCATCACTCAAATCACGCAAAAATGGGAGTGTGTTATTTTCCTTGGAAACCGTGTTTCTATTGGAACTCAATTCTATTTTTTTTGTTTTTTGTTTTTGTTTTTTGCTGGCGAGACAGTAGCGGTCGTGTACAAACACACGAAAAGAACTCAGGAGATTCTGTTCGCCGATTTGGCATAATAATACAAAAGTTTTTTTGTGCCCAATCAGGAGCCAGCATTGACCTTTTGGTTGGAAATGGTCTGGTGAGTCGGTACCCAGGGGCTCTTCTACCCGCGCTTGAAAACTTTGTTCGCGCATTTTTTCCCGACCCGAGGAAAGGAATCTGCTTATGCTTGGTCGGTACTAGAGAATATATTGTTAAAGTATAATGTTATCGTGCCTTAAACCTACAGATGCACATACTGTTCGCCGTAGGCCCACACTAAAAAATGACACCGAGCGTTTTTGGAATGGGCTGGTCCGCGAACTCAAAGAAAAACAAACGAAATTGTCAAGACATTCAATGACATCAAATACTCATAGACGAAATGACAAATCGGAATATCAGGAGTGTACGTATGAAATGGATGAGAGTTTGAAGAGAGGAATGTGTATCACGTTTGAGAGTCGAAAGATTTGTATAGCTGCTAATCAGTGTGACAAAAGTGACTTGGATATTCACAATGCGGAAGACAAGAAGCTGCCTGTGTTCATATAAATGTGTTCTGATGAAGGACGAGACGGTTGTCAACAAGTGAAACCAAAAGGAAGTCACGCTTCTTTTGTAGCTACTGTGATGGCTGTAACAATTCTCCTTATTCTTTCAATTTTGGTTAGCAGAGTGACTGTTAATGTACTTGTTTTTGTATTGCGCGTTGTGTTTTATGGAACGCGGTACATGTACGATGCTCAGCATCAGGATTTTGCGTTATCAGCAAGTTTTGTTTCAGAATTAGAGCAGTGAGGTGACAGGAAAAGGCGATGACTCAATTGTACAGAAGCAAAATTGTGTTGTAGAGGAAGTAAAAGAAGTTGAATTTAGATCTCGTCGTGCATGGGAAATTTATTTATTACAGAACTTACAATTTAAATAAGTTTAGCCAATTCTCTCGATGCGGTCGTGCAAATCGGCAGCACTAAAACACCGAATCCGGAAAGGGAAGCGGAATACGGAATCAAATATAAATGATAGAAAGTTAAAGAATTTCACATTGCATAATTTAGTACAATCCAAAGAGAATTTGTTTCAGTTTTCTTGGCAGTTCCCTTAAATATATTCTTATTATTGTGTCTTAATAAGGTTTTCCGTAGTGTGGGTTATTGCACTACAAGGCCAATGAAAGTACCTGTACCTGTACCTGTTTATAACAATGAATTTAAAAGACAATGGTGTATTTTTCCGGCAACATTAAAACACGGATTCCGTTTCTGTTTCCGTTTCCAGATTCCGTGTTTTAGTGCTGCCGGAAAATACACCACTGTCTTTTAAATTCATTGTTATAAACAGGTACGAAAGTAACTGTAACAGTGTGAGGTTTTTACTTAAAGGGCAACTCCAAAATTAGTTCGTAAACGAGGGAAGGTGTATATGCCGTCTAAGTTGAATCACCGGCTTAATCTTGGCCTTGTACTTGTATCGAGAAGAATCCAGGACCTTCAGTTTATGTAGATGCCACAAAAACAATTCATGCTCAATACTTTCAAGGAAACGTTGCAGTATTTGGGGAAAATGCTGAACAACAATGTGCTGCAATGAGTCTGTGCGCTATAATTTACAGTAAGATAAGAAGGATTACTTCAGTTGATATGATTCAAATAGTGATTGTTGGTAATCAAATATATTCTAGTCTGTCACTGCTTGTAAGACAATCTATGTTAATGTTGTCTACAGCATTGAGGGTGGGAGATATGAAGTATTTGATTCTCAAGCTAGAGATATGTATGGTAACAGTCATAGTGAAGGGACATGTGTATTGTTGGAAATTAAATCCATGCATA